ATTTAATTAACTACAATATGTGTGATTCACGTCAGTGATTAACTACAGTGTGATATAATAATGGCATTTTAAGCAATAACACCATTTAATGCATTACATACAGTATATACAGTATATATTCATATACTGTATAACAGTGTTACCAAAAGCATATGTTTTTCATTTAAAAACAATTACATCCATACAAACACAACAAATAACACCACATAATTCAATATATAAATCTATTTAATTTTGTTTCAATTAAATGAAACTTCTTTAGATCCAAAACTAAAATTTATTATATTTTACTATCAAATAATGCATTTTTCTAACAACAATTTATTACATACTTTTTAATGGTATAGTAGTAAATGCATAATATTCAGAATATATTTGAGAATATAATACACATACACATACACATACACATACACATACACATACACATACACATACACATACACATACACATACACATACACATACACATACACATACACATACACATACACATACACATACACATACACATACACATACACATACACATACACATACACATACACATACACATACACATACACATACACATACACATACACATACACATACACATACACATACACATACACATACACATACACATACACATACACATACACATACACATACACATATACACATACACATACACATACACATACACATACACATACACATACACATACACATACACATACACATACACATACACATACACATACACATACACATACACATACACATACACATACACATACACATACACATACACATACACATACACATACACATACACATACACATACATGGTTGAATTATTAAAATATATGTATTGTTGATGATTTAAAATTCAAATTAAGTAGGAAAAACTATTTTAAAACTGTTTTTATAGTATAGAAATTATTTATAATTAGTTATTTTATATACTTTAATTTTTGTAAGATATTTATAAATTTTTTCAATTTCATTTATTTAGTTATTTTAAACGATTGATAATAGTTTTGTATTAATGCTTTATTTATTTTTCTTTAATCAAGTTTTATAATATGTATGAGATTAGATAAAAATGACTAATAATATTTATATTAAAAAAAGTTTTTAGAAATTTCTTCAAAAATTTTAATTACTCAAAATTATTAAAAATTGTATCTAATATTATTTATATTATCTCCAATTGATTCAAATTATTCAAACTCTATCATAAATAAAATAATACTGTTATTAATGTCAAAAATATATGTAAAAATTACATTTAGTTCATTATCTTTTAAGAGGTTTCATATTATTACACAAAAAAACAAATTTAGAGAAAACAAATTTTTTAAAATTGACATTATTGACAATTTATTATAGTCATTCAGTATTATTATTATATTAAGAAATATTTATATTCAATATATTTAATATTAAATAAATACTATAAATAATATTTATTATAATACTTGAAATGTGTGTTAAAAATAAAATATTAGTATTTATTACACCGTAAAACTTGTTTTAAACAGATTATGCAAATTAAATGATAACTGTTTTGTAAAGAAATTCGTAGAGTTTAGTAAAATGTTTATCTATTCATAACTATTAAATGAGAAAACATTACATATTTTATTGTTACGCCTTTATAAAACATATCGATATACTATGTAATGAAAAAACAGAATATTCTGTTTAAAATATCAACTAATCAATTGTAATATTAATTAAATTCAATCTAAAACTTGTCATCGATTTATTTATAATATATTAATATACATTATATAATATTATACCGCTATATATAACACACCAATAAAATTTATTAACTAATTGTCTGAAAATGAAATGAATACATAAATATTACATTAGTTTTAGTTTATTATTTATTAATATTTCATGTAATTCAAAATTAATTGTTTATATATTTAAAATATAATCTTACTGTAATTATTTTCAAATATAATATTATTCATATTTTATATGTTTACTTTTTAATATAAACTTTTTAAGATTAAAAAAAATTATTTAAATTATTAAATAATAGCTAACAAACTTTACATGCAGTATCTGATAATAATAATAATAATAGACATTATTTATACACGTATCGTATTCAGCTTAGTTACTGGTATATCATACAAACGTGTTTTATATACCTGTAAAGAGTATTCAATAAAGTGTATAGCAATCACATGACAAAAACTGGTTAGAAACCAGTACATTAATAAATTATATCTTATATTTGTAAAAGGGTTTAGTATAAAATTTTCCATACAATAGTGTTTTTATAAATAATTAGTCATTTAATAGTCATAAAATACTTATAATTTAATAATAAGACTATTAGTGCTCGTATTTAAATATTATTTAGAGCTTAAATATGCCACACAAAGCATACTACCTCAGAGAGACTCGAACTCACAACTCTCCGATCGATAGAACGACTTCCTAACTACATGAGATATTGTGACTACTTTTCATCTATTATATTGTATATTAAAGTGGATAATAATTATCACAATTATAAATTAAAAACTGTTTTTTATTTTAGAATATTTATTTATTGCATAAATTTAATTCCTTAGTTAAATATTTATCAATTTTTATCAAAACTAAGTTTTCAATATAGACTTATAAAGGTTATGTTATTTTATAATTTATTAATTTATTGTTAGGAATAACGTAAGCTTTTGTTAAAAAATTGTATAAATATTTAGATATCTGTATTAATAAAAAACATTTACCAAATAAACTATTGATATAATGTTTTAATAATGTTCATTGTGCTATCAAAATACACATAATTTTATATTGGTTTGAATTTACAATACAATATCTTTTTTTTGAAGTATTTTATCGATTGACTACAATTCAATTGTTGGGTAAACTTTTACCTAAAACTTATTGTGAGACTCAAGACTATCAATATATTATTCAAGAAGATTTTCATCATTTATTTTGATTTTTTAATAAGTTTTTAAATATATAAAGTATTGTATTTATTATAATTTAAAGTAAAGTAGTATACAGTACTATAGAATCTTTTAATAATATAAAATATTCTGTTTATATATAAAAACTATTTATAAAACTATTTATAAAACTATTTATTGAAAGTCATTTGAATTTATACTTCATTTTACTCAATATAATTAATAAATTATTTTTATTATATTAATCGTTAAAAGTTACCATGTTAAATATTTCATTAAATTTGTGAATTGTTATAAAAAAAAGTATTTAAAATTTCAGTTTAAGATTCAAGAAGTTTTACCACTGATAATCACAATAATTAAAATAATCGCAAAATTTTAAATATAATGACAATTAAGCAAATATTGATAAATACTATTTAGTGGTGATTAGTAAAGCTTTCAAAACATAACACATACTATAACTTAATTTTATTGACTGTGATTTCTACATTTCCCTGAATGTAATATTTGCAATGTTATTACATACATAACACAATGTATTGAATTTGCTGTACAAAGCAATTCAATTAAATAATAGTTGTGTTATTTTATAATGCATTTCATGAATCTATAGTGTTTGCAGTTTGAATCTGTTTATGACTTTAGAGACTTGAGACCAGAATTTAAGTCACACTCTAATAGAGTCAGACATTAAAAAAGAAAAAACAGTAATATTTTATAACAAATATAAGGCTTATCTTAAAGTATAAAACGACGTTATTCTAGATTTAAGTATTCATTATTTTATTGTCTAATATTCATATAATAATAATAATAATAATAAATTTACATTAACTTGATATTTATAATATTTTATATAATATACTAACTATTAAATGCATATCAAAAGAAAATAATTTGGGTTTTTTCATATGTTATTTGAGGTAAAATATATACATATATAAATAGAAATGTCTTATATACTAAATAATTATGTTTAATGTAAAAATTAAAAAATATTCCTTGTTGAAAATTTAAATATTAAAAATATTAACTAAAATTGAAAAGTTAGATTAAATTTTTTAATTATAAATAACAGTTTTTGTAATTTTTTAACGTTTTTAAATAATAATTATTTTATAATAATAATAAATTTAACAAATTATTACAATTTAAATTTTGCTAAAGAGTTAATTAAAATCGATTAAATACTAACTTAATAAAGTCATAAAGCATTATATCATATAAAAAATGTCTTTTTAATGTAAAAAAATCTAAATTTAATTCATAAACCATAAACTTTTAATATTAATAGTCTTTATGTAATATAACTCTGGATTTTGTCTGATCTTAAGAATTTTTATTGAATTTTCTTTACACTCTATATACTGATAATAATAACAATAATGAAAAATCTTTTAATACTTATGTTGTGTAACATTAATATATATTCAAACATTTTTTAGCTCTAATGTATCCGCAATTTATATACAACATTACTTAAATGTTGTGAATTTAATTGCCAAAGTGTTTCGGATAACTTTTTTCCTGTAAACATGAAACGAGTTTTAATTAGAAATTTAGTCATTGAACTACATCAACAAAAATGACAGTTAAGATAATTACATTGAGAAAGTGAATATACATAAAGTTAATTGTTATATAAATAACAATATATATATATAATTTATGTAAAACATAGCATAACATTTGTTTTATCATAACTTATATATTTTAGTATTTTATTTAAATTCCAACATTTTGTTAATTTTGAATAACTTATATGCAAAATATGAATAAAAACAAACTTAATTAATGGGCTTTTTTCATTATATTCATGTTTTTAAAATAAAATTTTATTGGAAAAATTGTTGATAAGTTTGTCAAAAAACGTAATGATGAAAATTATCATTAATTAGTTGATAACAATTATAATGTTATCTTACATTTTTGAGTCAATTTATTTCTTTCAACACATTAGTGTTATTAATATTAAATATATTATAATATTAGGGATAAATTGAAATAATAATAATAATTAATGACTTAATATTTGTGTTTTTTGCTTATATATTGGATCCATAGTTTGCACAGTTATTCTCATATTCGTGGACTTTGGGAGAGTTTGGCTGTAAGTTTGTTCATTACATGCAAAATGTTAGCTCCATTTGCTCGGTCTTTACGCTCACTATTATGAGTATTGAACGGTATGTCTATTAACTCTATTTATTAATACAACTATTGTACTGTTTATACAATATATAAATTATATACAGTATATATACATATTTGTATATGTGTTTTATTATATATATATAGGCATTATCTTATGTATTTATTATATTTTTATATAGTAATATTTTGGTATTAACGAATATATATAAATTTATATATATATACCGTATATATAATAAATATAAATATTTTGTTATTTTATGAAACTATAAACACAGTTCAGATAAATTACAGTCATATACACGTGTAGATACAATTGTTTTTTAATCAATGAAAAAAGATTATATTATTGTGTGAAGATATTTATTAGCAAATTTTTGTCTTAATCTAATTGTCGACAACTAGTAATCTAAATACTATTTATTAGTAAATAACAAATTTTATTGGTTACTAATATGGGATTTATTTCAGTGCATCGAAAATTCAGACACAAATCACATCTAAAGTCTAATAATTTCGTGATATCTTTGAGTTGTCATTACATTAAAGGCTAATAATGTATAACTAAATAATGTATAGAGATATACATTTGAAAGATATTGAGTCGTTATAAGTAGTCCTTATAATTGTAGTCATTCATCCATCCTTTAAGTTTAGTATTTTTCTATTAGTTGTCAATGTATTTTGGTATTGTCCAGTCAAGACGTCCAAAAAAGAGAAATAGGGGGATATATATGGATGTATATAAATAACAAAGAACGTATATAAAGTTTAGCCAAAAACATATATTAATAAAAAATGAGCATGCTTACTTTATTTTTAATGATTATATAAGCATATATAAAAACATAAATTTGATTAAAAATTAGTCATTATTAAATAAAGACTGCTTTATATTTTATTTTTAAACATTTTTTAGTTAAATAATTTATAGCAAATAAAAATTAATATTATAATAAAATATCAATAAAATTAGTGTTCATACAATTTTATTTTAATTCTTAAACTATTTTTTATTTAAATTATTTTCATATTTTTTGCATTACAATACAAAAAATAATAATTATAGTAATTTATTTATGTAATGTCTCTTTATGTTGGGGTACATTAAGATAGAAATTATGTATTTTAAAAAAAGAAAGTCAAAAGTAGCCTTAAAATGTGATCGTCTTATTTGGACAACACCTTCCCATATATATATATATATATATATATATATATATATATATATATATATATATAGAGAGAGAGAGAGAGAGAGAGAGAGAGAGAGAGAGATTAAATTATTTTCCAATTATTGATGAATATTATCAATATTTATAAGTCCAATGTATATAAATATTTTACAATTTTACTCAAATTGATAAATATAGTGTTATATAGTATTAACTTCGAAATAAATATTAAAATAAGTGTTTTTACTAAATATTTGCTTCAATACCATAAAAGAAAAATAAATATTTTTTTCCATATGAAACGTATTTGCAAATATAAACATTAATATTTAGTGAACATTTTATTATACTGATGTACAGTATTACTGTAATACATCAAAATTGTCAAAAATAATGATAAGTTACAACAGACGGGAGTTATTATTTATATTTTATTTAATTGCTATTTTGATAGATTAGATGATTGCAAAATATGTGTAAATTTTATAGGTTGTTTAATACATATCACTTATAAAAAAATATATTTTACTTAAATAGATATAACACTTGCGTTTTATATACTTAATATTTAAATTTAAATATAAATTTTCCTGAATTAAGTAAATTAATTTTAAACATTTATGACAACCAATAAAAAAATTGTCAAAAAATATTTAAAGTGAAAATTGTTATATATAAATATATGTATAATTCAAATAAATACTTAATACTGTTTTAATAATCAAAATATGAGTGCATATGAAAGTTAAAAATATTTACAATGAAATACAATATAAATATTATTTTTAGATAAATTAAATATTGAATTAATATCATTATAATTAACTTTTTATTACATATATCTGTGATACAACCGGTTTTACGTCATTGCAAATATTTTTTTATTGTATTTACATGAATATGTCTATTTAAATATTTAATTTGATACACAAATATAAATTTATGTGAATTTTTATTTATTTAAGAGGGTTATATAATTGTAGTAACAATAAAATTAATTTTTATAAAAATTTACATTTAATTATATAAATTATTCAACATTCAACATTGTACAAGTATTTTATAGTATACATTATACAGTCACCAAGTTATGTTATACAAAATTAATACATATTTTTTATATTAATTTTTTTTTGTGTGTGTGTGTGTAGCATTTCATTTTGCGATTTTGAAATTCTGACCTCAGATTCGGTTAGAGGACTATAATAATGTATTGAAAAGTTTAATTAAAATTTTGATATCTCTTCGGGAACATAGTCAAAATTAAAAAAAATTTTTTTTTTTAAGTATAGATTTGAATAAAGCATCAAACAAGGATAAAAAATATACATTAAAATTTTGATATCTCTTCGGGAACATAAAGAAAATGGCGGCCAAAATAAAAAATTAGGTAAAAATTTTAACGTTTATAATTGTAAAGAGTATCAAAAATATGATATAATAAATCAGTATAAATTTTTTTAAATGGCGGCAAAAGTATAAAAAAATTTAAGAAATTTTTTTAAAGTATAGATTTGAATAAACCATCAAAAACAAGGATAAAAAATATGCATTAAAATTTTGATATCTACAACAAAAAGAATAAGTATAAGCGGAAAAAGTATAATTATAGATTATTATTTTGTTATACTAAATCATTTGATTGACTATAGTTTATTTTGAATACTAATCATTTGATACCATACATGACAATATTTATATTATGTATATTTGACCAGTTTTTAAATTTTTATATGTTATTATATAGCCGCTATAATTATACAAACTAATAGTTTTCAATGTTATTCAAGTTTTTTTTCTGAAAATGCTTACTAGCATTCTTAACTGGTTTATATTACATTTTGTATTATGTGTTTTATATTAAAATTGGAGATCTTTTTTAATGTAAACCACTAATACAATAAGTTTATCATAAGTTTATAAAAGAGACATAAAAGTTTACATAGTTTTTTCAAACTAATACATAATTAATTTATATTTTATTATAAAAACATATTTTAGTAACAAATATGAAATAAAATTTAAAAATATATTCTTTATAAATATAATATTTATGAAACCTTATTATTTCTTTAAAAAATATATTTATTTTGACCCTAAAGGCAATATGTATTGATACTATACTACAGAATACTATAAAATAACTTATTTGAGGATATGATAAAAATAACAAAATTTCGTAATTACTATACATTTACAATTGTTTAACGATTTATATTTTTGTTTATTTATATGTTTGTAATTAGATATTATAATTATAAATTTGTTATTAGTAACATCAAATTTTAATAAGACACATTAATAATAATAATTTAATATATACAACACAAAAATGTTAAAATGATAATAAATATTATTCAATATATATTTTTATACTGTACAACAATTTTAAGTTTTATAGACATTTGGTATTTACAAATAAATATTATTGCAAAACTTTTCAATAAATATTTTATTATATTTAAGTATATAAAACTAAACTTATCAATACTAACTTGAAAAAACCACAGAAATCTCTTATATATTTATATTTTTAATATTTTTATACATGTAATATAAATGTATTTTTAGGTTATGTATTAATATAAATAGTGAATTTATTTCTAAACTATTTAATGATTATAAATAATAGTTATAAGTTATAACTGTTGATCTTTTTTACACATTAACTTCTGTATATTTGCACATTATATATATAACATTATAGTTATACAAATCATTTTTATTAATTATGTATAGATATGCATAAACACAGCTTTTAAATAAATTATATAATTTAATAATTAAAAATAATAAAATTAAAAATATCATTTAAATATATGATGCGGTTTACATAAAATCAATAGTTTCAATAAGAAAGGGTAGCATTAATTCACCAACACATGGATTTTAGGTAAGGCCTATAGAAAATAAACGGTTTGGGCGAGTAATATGACGACGCCTTATCTATTGGGAGTATAAAATAAGTCACTGTTTTTAAAAAATTATATCACTTCTCATATTTAAACAGTTCGTGCAAAACATAAAGTGTGTAATTAAACAAAGAAATTATTTACTAATTAGTATTAAAATGTTTTTAAGATTTTATATATGAAATAATTATTAATATTCTGTATTTTACTTATATAGTAATAATACTGTAAAATAATAATAGTAAAACTTAATATATACTATTTATTTAAAAGCTATTTTTATAATTATTATATTGTGTAAAAAAGATCATTATTATTATACAATGCTTTTTAATCATCACATAATTAATAATAAAATATTTTAAATGTATTTAAATATGTTTTTAAAGCATTTATTTAAGTAATAGTTTTTATGTTTAAAATATTTAATCTTTGTAATATAAGTTTTGTTAATTTGTTAGTAATTTTTATTAAGTAATTACTGCATTAAATTAAATAATTTCTAAACAAATCTCATAAATAAATTACTATTTTTTAATTAGGTATATTTAAATTAACTAAATTAAATAAATTTTTAATATAAAGCAACTTGAATTAGTTATTTTGTTATAAAGTTTGAAAAACATAATATAATTAGTTATATATAAATTTATATATATATATACATTTTATATATACATTATATATATATATATATATATATATATATATATATATATATTATCTGAACAAAGCAGTTATCAGAAAAATAATTATTGGAAATATGCAATAAAACTACAAAAATATTTTAAAATACTAATTGGATATTCACTTGAATGTTGTGTATCGTTTGTCGTCCAGAATATAATAATATTTGAATAACTAATACAACTAAATAAAATTTAAAAACATTTAAGTAAATATTTTATAAATTAAAACCGAAAATTCTTATCATTTTGATACTAAATTAAATATCTAATTAACCCATAAGTAATTAAATATTTATTAACAAACAATTATTTTGTTTAAAATAAATTTTATAATTAATTACATTTTAATATTAATAGTTGAGTTGAATATTTAATCAAAAATAATTGAAAACTCTAATAGATATTTATATATACATTAAATCAAATTATTTTATAGGGTTTGACTTGGATTTTATATGTTTGAAATAAAATACAAAATTAATAGATTTTTATTTTCATTTATATATCATAAAATATAATAACATCATCTCAAGAGATAACAAAAATATTAAATATTTTAAGAAATAAAAAATAATAATAAAATTTAGAATTTTTGATTGTATGATAAAATATAGATTTAATACATAGAAAAGTTGACTTAAAACACTATATTTATAGAAATTTTGTTACATTTGACACATTTTTTGACATGAACTTGGTTACTTAGAAAAATCAATTTTAATATAAAATATCTAAATATTTTTAGAAAGATAAGTCTTTTTTATATGAATTTTTTCTAATATATTGTTTTTCATATATAATATTATATATACCGCTATATTCAAAAACATTATATTGAATCGTATAATTTATACGCAGATTTAAGCATAAAAAGTGTTAAAAAGCAGAATCAATATAAAATTAATTTTCTGTTTTCACACAGAAAAACAAAATCTCTTGTTTTATAAATAAAAATTTGTTTTTAGACTAAAAGACAACTGAGATTCATATCTTAACATAATATAGGGGTATTTGAATAGAAAATATAGTGAAATACAATAAACATATGGTATGTGTTGTTAGGAATACTTATATCTATTTATTTATTGAAAGTCACGAAAATATTTTACTATAAAACAAATGTAAAACATAACATAAAAAGGTTTAAGTTTTTTTTGTGTATAAATAATATTATTATTGAAATGCAATTGTTTTTATTGTTATTTTTAACATTAAGAGTTAAAATAAAATAGACAATATATGTAAAAAATCTTTAAATAAATGAATAAAATTTTATTTTTTATTTAAACTAAATGTTGTCTATAACTATATCATTTGCTTCAATATTTTATATTTTATATTTTACTAAACATTATATTATTTTAAAGTTATTTTCATAGAATTTTGGTTATTATTATTTCTTTAACTATTTTTCTATTGTAATATTTATATATTATAAAAAATTCAATTTATTTTGCATTATGCTAACTAATATAGATATACAGTAAATAGTTTATATTTTAATATGTGTGCATTTTTGACACAAAATTAAAGTTAAAAATTTTATTTTATTGCACATTTATAATGTTTTCAAATTAAATCAATAGTTCAATATTATATTATATTAAAAATTCAAGAATATAAATATTAAATACTTGATTAAATTACAATTTTATTGTATACTATTATAATATATTATTTATACTTAAATTTATATATATGTACAGTATATACCTAAGTTTATAATATATATAAATTTATATATATATTAATATACAAAAATTTATTTTACAATTGCTTTTATCATTTTAACACATTTATAATGACAATAAATATATATAATTGCCCCAAAACATAATTTGTTGATATTTTAACTTATAGTATATGCAAAAATTATTATACTTCAAAAATCTATGATTTTGATTGACATTTTTACTATAAATTATCATTTATATTAGTTAAAATACATATACTGTATACAAGTTCATACAAAATTTAAAAATATAATTATGTGTATTACTTATACATGAAGTAATTGAGCAGAAGTTTTGTAATATATTTTATTAAGTTTTTAATTATAATTAAAATTAATTGTAGAATAATATATTTATTAATGTTATTGAATTATTATAAAAATATTTTCAAAATAAATCTATGATAACAGTTACTACGCTATCATACATCCAGTGAAATGTAGGGCTACTTTTAATATGACTCACATGAAAAAGATAATTATATTCATTTGGATAACATCTATACTGTTGGCATTGCCTGTACTCTACATTCAGGTATAAATATAATAGTTTTCTACCAATATATGTATGAAAAGCTTAAGTATGCTTTCAATGATTTACTTATGCCTTAATAATATAGATATAATTAAATGTCTGAGAGACAGATGATTTGATTTTTTTTATATTTATTTGTTGTATTATTAGATTCATATAGAAGTTGGTCAGCGATATCAGGCATATTGGTGTGTCAGGGATTGGTCGCGAACTTTTTGGTGGCCATTCTATGAATGTTATATGATTTGGTTGATATTGATTTTGCCATCACTGGTCATGGCTTATACCTACACATGTATTTGCCATCAGCTATGGATTGTCGTTCAGCAAAGGGCTGGTATGGTCTGCGGGCGCGACTCATTGTAAGTGATGTCTCAGCAGATTATTCACAAAATACTAATTTCTATAATATTTTCGATAATTGCCAGCATTAACATAAATAAAGATTTTTTATAATTAAAAAATGTTATTAATTATTTTTTATGGATAACATTCAAGTAAAGCAAAGCAAATAATAAAGACAAAAAATCATTAACTTTAACAACAATTGATAAATGAAACAAAAGTTAATTGCAATCAACAAATAAACAAAAAAATAGAAGAATGATTTCAATCTTGAACTGCAATATAACTTAATTGTCATTTTATTCAATATTTGTACTGTTATTGACTTTAAATTGTAGCTAAATTTTATTCGGTTTTATTTTGTTGAATTGTTTTTATAAAAACATAAAACAATTAATGATAAAAAAAATCAAAAACTAAAAATAAAATAATTTGTAACACAACTCTATAATTATTAAATACTTAAATTCAATAAAATCTATAAAAATATTTTAAAAATAACATAAAAATAAATATAAAAAAAGAAATTCAATCAATGTTTGTGACTTTAAACGTATTGCATTGTATATACGGTATATATTTGACAGAAAACATATTTGACAGAGAAAATCATTTTTTCGACTTTTATCTCTTATTTCAAATTTTTATTTATTTATTTTATTGCTATGTTTTCACTTAAAATGACTTATTTTCAGCACCTTTCGGCTTAAATAAGAAACTTAATTCACAATAAATCAAGAATATTGTTATATCTATCAAATTTACTTCAAGTTTGTTCTTAGATTTATTGCTATCAATATCTAAAAATTATTTTTATTATATGATAAATAAATATATATATATATATATAAATTTTAAATATTTTTCATTTTTACTGTAAAATGTTTGAAAAGTACCGGTATATTGCAAGCATCTAACGTAAAACAGCAATAATTGTGAAATATAAAAATTTATTACAGCAGTAGTAGAGTATGAAATATAGGAAATATTTTATTAAAATTATCGTAAATTTGTTCATCTATTTTGTTACTAAAACTAGAATAAAAATCATAAAATATAATTATTTTTAGTTAATTCAATTTATCTAAATTGTTAATTAAGATTATGTCAATCAATTTATTAAATATCTGCATTAATACAATTGAACATTAAGTTAAGCAATGCAACAGTTATTTGTCTCAATATAGTACAGTATATTGAATGTCATTATTGGATTCAATATATAAATACAAAAATCATTAGTGTTTTTAATGTTACCTAAAATAGTGTAACAAAATGTCCAATAAAGTAAACTAAAATTTAAAGGGAAATACATCTAATGATTGATTAACAAAATAATTAACAAATTTGGCTAAATATTACTTAAATAACTACAAATACAGTTGAGTTTTAATTAAGATTCTCATTTAAGTTACTTTAATATAAGAGTATAAAAGTCTAATTTAAGAGTAGATATTTACAGAGACTTTAATAAAGATATGACTATGAAATGTATTTTAAACGGAAACTGTATTTTAACAAATGTTTAAAATGTAACGACACTTATTGATCAAAATGATTAAAATTGATGAAATTTTTCTCTATGTTTATTATTAGTATTTCTAATAATATTATCAAATTTAATAAAATACATATTACTAGATATTTTATAAACATGAAAATATGGTATAATATTAAACAAATGGTCGTTATTTTAAACTTATTAACGTTTAACTAAATCATGTATAAAAATAAATTTAATTAAAAACAAATTTATATTAAAGTTTTTTATATCATTTGTTTTTAAGTTTATTATAATACAGCATATTATTAAATATAAATATTATAAACTTAATGAATAAGTTATTTTGAAAAACTTATTTATTATTATTTACAAAGAAATTTATAAAATAAATAAATAGCATTTTATGATACTTATTTACTTATATAATTTTCAATAGCTTAATACTTGTATAATGATTGCAAAACATGTATTTTAAACAATACTTTTTAATTTTAAAAAACTTTGGATAAATTAATTATGACCATGATACTAATTTTAGGTAAATACTTTCAAAGTTTATTTTATTTTTTATTAAAAATATTAATTAACTTTTTCGAGTTTGTAGCAATGTACAACTAACAAACTAAATATTTAAAAAAATACTATACTATACTACAAATACTAAAATTATTGATTAAAAATTAAATTAAAAAGATAAAATGAACATTAACTTTGTAAATATTTACTTAAATGCCAAATAAAGTTGAAAATGAAATATTTTATAATTGTCAACACTATGTTTAAAGTTGACATTAAGTTAACATTTATCATAATTATTAACATTAAATAAGTTATGTTAGATGTCATATATTTTAACTAAAATTTCAATTTTATAACTTTTATTATAAGTTTTTACTAAGAATTTTATTTTCAATTGTTCACGATTTACATTATTTTTATGTATAATGAAAAATTTAAACTAAGAAATTAACATAATTTAAAATTATATTGTTAAACCATATAAAAAATATATATATATATATGTGTGTGTGTATTATCGGTAGTATTTGGTTATAAGATTTTTAAGCAATAAAATAAAAATAATTCTCCGATGCCGGGAATCGAACCCGGGCCTTCTGGGTGAAAGCCAGATATCCTAGCCACTAGACAACATCGGATGCTATAATAACTTATTGTTTCTGTGTTAAGCATCTCCTAAATAACTAATATTTTAATTTAACGCATTATTAATATAAATTAACAAATATATTAAACTATATAAATAATTTAAATTGTAAATATAAATATCTTTAATTTATATTATTGTTTTTAACATTAATTAATTATAAGTGCAAATAATTGACTTATATTTTGATAACTTATTAATTAAATTATATTTTTGTGACCTAACAGTGCCGGCAGTACTGAAATGCATGAATTGAATAATAGCGACAAAGAAGGCGACAATTGTCGTCACGTCGGCAATACTCAGAATAGTCAAAGACCTCTTCAACAGATATACCACAATAAGACCGATGAGGACAGTACTACCGTAAAACAGGTGACTATTATTAAGGTTCTTATCATTTATTTTTACTCTATTTTTATAATAAAATCATTTTTTTGTCATTTTATAAATAAATACAATATTACTAGAATTGTTGTACAAAATTAGTCGATTAATTTAATTGAATTGTTTTACAGGTAATCAAAATGTTGGTCGCAGTAGTCGTACTGTTTATCATCTGTTGGTCACCGATATTGATAATCAATGTTTTGACATCATTTGGTATTTTGCATCCATTAAATTACGGATATTTAAAGCCATTGAGAACAGGTATACATTCAAACTATTTATATGTAGCAAAATATTGTCGCAATTGTTAACTTTTATAAAATTTATTTATTCATTAAAATGTTTAAAACTTTTTCTTTTAATATTTATGAAACTAGCGGCACATCTATTATCTTATGCTAATTCGTGTATCAATCCAGTGGTCTATGGATTTATGTCTAAGAATTTTAGGGCCTCTTTCAAGACGGCTCTCAGCAATTGTTTTCATTGCTCGAGATTTCGAGGAAGATATGGTCAGAATAGTGGCCAAAGAAGCTATACATCCACCTATCGTATCAACAATAGCACCACCAATGGAGGCACTCGGGCTACCAGTGTTTGGACACAACATCATATGAACCAAAACATGTAATCATTAATCAACTTATTTTTCAATACAATTATCTTATTAAATGTCTGTATCAATAAAGTTAAATATAAACTAAAATCAAAATCATTGTTGTTTTTTCATCACTATTATTAAATGTCACAGTATTTATATATATATATATAGTATTAACCCATATTATTATAATTTTTATCAAATCTATTTTAATCAATAAACTTTTAATGTTTAGCTTAATATATATTTTAGGTTTATTCTATGAGATGTATGTATAATAAATTATAATACATTACAAATAACTTAATTTATGATTTATCTAAAATCTCAAATAACTTAATAAGTATCATACCGGTAAAGTGTAATTACAAATAAATTTATATATAAAAGTTTTATAATAATAATATATATATATATGTTGAAAATATTATATTGTTGAATTATTAAGATATATAAATCATATAATTGTTTAACAAAATATAATAATCAAAACACATAATACTCAAATATTGTTAATATATAAAATCTAAAATATTTAACTATTATATGTAAAATATGTTTTATAAAGTATAAACATATTTAAGCCAAACATTTTCAATTGTATTGAATTATCCATTTTAAAATTATTAATTTTTTCATTGTTTAATGTCTTGTTATTAAATTATTAATTAAAATATTATAATTATTTTTATTACACTTTTATTTAATAATTGAGAATATGTTTCTAATAATATCTAATAATATGTAATCTGGTTATCAGTAATGACAACAAATGAGTTACTCAATTATCACAATAATCTACTAATAATAATAATAACTAATAATTTAATCTCAATTTAATTATTAATTACCGGAAATATCATTAACACATTATATAGCAATTGAATGGACAATAATTTCAAATGAAATGCAAACATCAGTGTTGACCACAATTATAACCAATGATTGACAATATCGACAAACAAATGCCAAACAACTATCATATATTGAAATTAAATATTAAAATAACTAAAATACAGGTAATAATTATTAAATCATATTTTTATTGTTAATATCGTTAAACAAATCTTTATTGTATGGATTTAATGGTGTAATAACTCATACAAACAGACCATCGATGGTATCAAAGAATCAATGTTTGAGTGCAAACTTCCTCTGAGGCCAAGTCCTTTCACGTCGAGACTGTTTGCGTGTCTTAATGCTGGCCTCGTGTCGGGTGAGTCTCCGTCTGATAGCTCGCGTCAGTTTTGGCCGCAAATCAATCGGTTTTCGGGACTTGTCTTTGTAGAACTTCTTCAGATTGTCCCTCTGGTTCTGTCCCATAACAGTCAACACGCGGGCAATGTTTTTGCGGAATACCCTGATTTTGGACAGTTTACTTGCGGTACCTCCGGTCACTTTGGCCACTCGCAAATTGGCCAACTCTTGCTTCAACTCATCCAATTGTTTCGCCAATTCATCCCTACGTTTGCCTCTCAAATCTCTTGTCTTCACTTTTGACATCTTGACCTCTGGTTATCACCGAAATCGGCGTTTATTTCTCTATTTATAAAATGTGTTCACAAAAGTCAATACAAAACAGGAAAGGGATGTAAACTAGGATTGTGTGCGACTGTGCACTCAATACATATATATGGCATACATTCACTACATATCAATGCAATCAATACCACAGATAGGCGGGGCTTAACAACAGTCTCTACTTTTATACATATTATTTGTTGTTTGTATTTATATATTATAGAAATAATCTATGATTTCTATATGTATTTGTTATGACATTTATTACAACAATTAGTTTTTATATACAATTGAATCACATTAACCATTCATTGGCATTATATTTGTTAATATATATCATATAAACTATTAATTACTATTAAAATTATATAAATTATATATTTAATATTTATTTATAATAATTATATTATTTTTATTTACTATATATAATATTAAAATTAATACTATTATTAAATATATTTACTTGTACTTTAAACTAGTGTTGTTAAACGTTCAGTAATTGACTGAATTGAAATTAATGACAAAAATTAAAGAAAAATTTTCAACAAAAAAGTGTAGTTTAAGTCGAGTTTTAAATACATACATATACTGTACATTTAAGTACAAACATATATAATAGTAAAAATATATAATACTATATACTGTAAACAATTTTATTTAAATATATATATATTTCCTTAAAACAATAGTTTTAATAAAGTTAAGTACAGTATATGTTAGAACAGCATATAAATTAAACTGCAATATAGATATACATACTGTATGTATATATACAACGAACAAATAGTTTAACTTTATTTATATTTAGACGACTCATACATATTTGTCTATAGAATACAAATTATATAATTATGTAATTAAAAAAATAATTTTTATTATAATAATATTTCTATTATTTCTATGATTGCAAATATAGAATTTATTATATATTAATATTTTACTTTTAATTATGTTAATAAAGTATTAATTAAATTATTAGAATTGCTATTCTAATGCTAAGGTTTTTTGCATAATTGAATATTTTTATTAATGTTAAATATATTTATTTAAAATTTATATTAAATTTAAATTTTGAAATTTATGGGACAGATGTATGAAATATAAAATAATTAGCATGCACATTTAGTTATAATAAATATATTGGCAAATATTAACAACAATATAATGTAGAAAATTGTTGATAACTTAGTACTTCTACATTGATGTGATTATTACATGATTTCCCGTAATGTTTGTAAGCAATACAGTGAAAGACACCACAAGTGAGTTGAATGAGCAGTGAGTTTAGTAGAGAATATGTGGTGAATGTGTTTTGTGTGAACATTGTATGCCTTTATAACCAGTGCTGCCCTGAGATCACCATTTTATCACTAATAGTAACTCTCAGTCAGTCTCAAGGCTTATACCGATTGAAACGGTTTTCCTCTTTTAGGAAAAAACTATACATTAAATAACAAATAGATATGAGTGTTATAGCGTTAAAATAATAACTAATTTATTTATTTTATACACATTTTGCTGCATTCAAGCAGTAGTTTACGGATATATTTGATTATAAGTTTATTATATTATTTAAACTGTTATTACTGTTATGTCTGTCCAAACCATCGGTTGGCGACCTGAGGATGGAGTGCCTGACCTCACAGTTATCAGTAATATTGATGAACAGGGAATCAATACTAATCTGAAAGTCCGATATCTTAGGGAACAGATATATGTAAGTATTGTTTATATTTATAATTATAAAATGATCATGGTTAGTTTTGCAATTAGTTATATTATATATTATATGCTTAATTGATTGCATAGGACTATCACTGCTTCTATTTAATCGCTTATATATTAGTCTAAAGTTTTCATTTCAATTACATATGTAATACACAGGTATGCCTTCATATGACTCACACATCCAAACACATACCCAATACCCACACCCCTGACAGTGCTCTTCACTGAACACAAGCCATAACATCATTGAAGAGCACTGACAGTGAATGTCTATATAATTAATGAGAAGTCATATGAAGTCATACCTAAGGAAGGCTTTCTTGGAAAAAGGAAATTACATTTAAAATAGTTTTGACGATAATATATAAACATTAAAATTATTATATTATATATAAATTTATATAACTTGTATTACATTTTTACAATAATTAGGTTATATATTTTGTAATAATTTAATTGAAATATGTTATTATTATAATTTTTTTTGAACAATTAAATTATACATTGTAAACATTGATATAAATTATTAAGCACTACACAAATATATATATATATATATGATTTAATGATAAATGATAATAATTAAATTATATAAATATTTAATTGTATGAATATTGAGATGATATTAATAAAATGTGATTATAAATTGAATGTAGACCTATACCGGCACTATTTTAGTGGCAGTCAATCCATACAAGGAATTAGATATTTATGAGACGGTTAGTAGCCTTATATATATAAATAGATTTACCTATAGTTACATCACATTAATTATTTGTAAACAACTTTTTCAATGTTAAGGAATGGGTTTATAAATATAATGGACAAAAGATATCACAACAAGAGCCGCATGTGTTTGCCATCGCCGAAGCGGCCTATAGTCACCTACAGTTAGACAACGCCAACCAGGCGTGTGTCATATCAGGAGAATCAGGCGCCGGAAAGACAGAGTCCACGAAATTTATTTTGCAATACTTATGCACCGTTACGTCCAATCAGTCGACTTGGATGGAGCACCAGATTCTTGAGGCCAACACTATTTTGGAGGCCTTCGGTAACGCGAAAACAGTACGAAATGACAACTCTTCCCGATTCGGCAAATTCATTCAAGTTTGCTTTGATTGGCGCTATCAGATCAAGGGCTGTATTATTCAGGACTATCTTCTCGAACAGTCAAGGATTACATTTCAATCGGCCGGTGAACGCAATTATCATGTATTTTACCAATTAGTGTCCAGCGCTCAACATAATGCCGACATTAGAAACCAGTTCCTCATTGATCCCCTTGAAAACTATGCATATCTTAGACAGAGTGGGTGCTATAAAATTGATGGCGTCGACGACACCAATATGTTTGATTCATTACGACTGGCAATGTCTGTCCTCAATATACCACCCGAAATGTGTGACGGCATTTTCTCAGTGCTCAGTGCTATTCTATGGCTCGGAAATCTCCAGTTTGAAGACCATTTAGATGGAGAACGCTGTAAATTAAGTCCCGATGACGAGATGGTCATCGCAACAATGGCCACATTGTTAGGTGTGGACGCATATAAACTAACATTGGCTACACTTCAGCGTCAGATTAATGTTAGGGGAACTGTCACTGATATACCGTTTAAACTGCAAGAAGCGCGTGACAACCGACACGCGATGGCCAAAGCTCTCTATTCACGCACTTTTGCGTGGATTGTCAGTTACATCAACACGTGTACAAACCCGGGTCAGGATAGCGACCGTTTTCTCGGTGTACTCGATATCTTTGGCTTTGAGAACTTTGATGTCAACAGTTTTGAACAATTGTGTATCAATTATGCCAACGAAAAATTGCACCGATTTTTCAATCATTATGTCTTTGCATTAGAACAAGAAATTGTAATAATTTTTTTTTGTATAGTTATTAAACATATTTTTAACTAAATATTGTTTATTTGATTAACAGTACCGACAGGAGGGCATCTCATTTTCTCACATAAACTTTACGGACAATACCCCCTGTCTCGAGCTTTTAGAAAAACCCCCCAAATGTGTGATACGTTTGCTGACTGAGGAATGCCGGATACCTAAGGGAACTGATATAACATATGTAAATAAACTTCACTCAGAATTCGAAACTCATAGCAATTACATCCGCGGTGACGACAGACGTCGTTGGGAAATGGAGTTTGGGGTCAGACATTATGCCGGAGATGTTGTCTATAATATAACCGGTTTTATCGAGAAGAACAAAGATGTACAACAGGACCAACTCTTTGATCTGATGCACGACTCGTCAAATGTTTTTGTCAAAGATATCGTCAAATTTCAGGTACCGGTAATTGTTTTTTATCTATGCATTCAAATAACAAATCAATTTAAAAACATATTAAATAATATTATTAACTTTCTTTGCTTATAATACACTTATCCTATGCTTTCCTTCATCAGTGGTATTGGAGTTACCAAATGACAGCTGAAGTAATAATTTATATAATAAATAAATTTTACATAATTTAATGCATGAATAGAGCCTTATATATGATTATATACTGAAAATTATATATTCAATTACATCAAGAATTTTAATTAAATAATTATGTTTTACTATTATGTTTAGGATTTAATGAATGTGACGGCCAGTCGTGTGGCAAATACGACTTACGCTACAATCAATCGGATAGAAAATGCTACCAAAACAAGCAAAGGTCGGCCAACAGTAGGCGACGCATTTCGTTTTCAATTGACAGCACTCGTAGATTTGCTACACTCAACCAATCCATGGTATGTGCGATGCATTAAACCTAATATGATTAAAGCACCGGACTTTTATGATGAGCAACAAGTTCAGACACAATTGCAATACTTGGGAATGTTAGATATTATACGAATTAGACGGGAAGGCTTTCCTATACATTACCCAATTAGTCAATTTGTGTTAAGATATCGGTGTTTAGTTTTGAAGTATTTGCGTCATATGGGTCTTCAGGCAGACGCGGCCGCAAAGATATTAATGATGTTAAAGATGCCAAAGACTGAGTGGCAAATCGGCAAAACCAAAGTTTTCTTAAGATTAACAGTTCACGAACCACTTGAAGAACAACGAAAAACTTTATGTCATCGGATGGCTGTTATAATACAGAAGCGATTAAAAGGCTATTTTCAAAGACAAAAGTTTCTTAATCTGAAGTATTGTGTCATTTTCATACAATTACATTTTCGAGGACATTGCGATCGGCTTAGGTATCTGAGAATGAAAAGGGCGGCCATTACTATACAGGCGTTTGTAAGAGGAATGTTTGCTCGAGAAGTGGCGGCCGCTATGAAACAAATGAAACGCGTAGAAGAAGAGATGAGACGTAAAGAACAGGAAGAATGTGAACGAAAATTACTCGAAGAACAGAGAAGGTTAGCTCAACTACAACAACAACAACTGCAAAATGGTGTCAAACAAACTGATGGCGACCACAATGTCGACACAAATGAAGAGCAAGTCAACGAATCGCTTCTGTATGTATTCAAACATTTATTTTTTAAAAATATATTTTTATATTTTTAATTATATTAGTATTTAAATAATTCTAATGTTTATTAAGTATTAAAAAGTGTTTTTTAAATATAAATATTTTAGAGAAGTTTTATCTTATAATATAATATTCACAATCTTTATACACAATTATTATATTAACAAAAATATTCACTATTACTAAAGTATTATTTCATTGAAATGCAGTACATTGTATAAACTTATTGTCTAATTCAATTTCTAATATTACTATATTATTGTATTATTTTTTTAAAGTGCATTTGAATATATTTTCAGATATATAAAAAAAAAGTTAGGAAATTGTATAAATAATTTAAAAACAAATTTTTTTAGAACTATACATATATTATAGAGTACTTTACTTATTGTAAACAATTGAAATAATGTTAAAATTATTGATTTAATCATATTTTATTCAGTTTTAGTTTTAGTCGAAAAAAACATTTAGCTTTTAATCTGTTTTTAAAATCAGATATATTGAGGCAAATAACATGAATAGTAGGTACTATTGTTATTGTTTAATATCGATTGGATTCAAGAGGAATACCATAACACCAGACAAGTTGCGAGTTAACCAAACACTTATGACTCATTAGGGGTTATAAACTGTATTAAATGTAACAAAATTATATAACATCTCATATATCAATATACTTCTATATATATATATATAACTGCTTTGTCATATAAAAACAATAATAGCATTAAATCTAATCATATCAATTATAAAATCAATAAGTGGCTTATATTTCATATGCGATGCCTTTTTTTGTCTTTATCTAAACGCTAACCACACATCGTAACAGTGCTATATTGGAGGAGCGATACGGGTATGGATTAACTAAATAATATATAAAATAGTTTTTATATAGACTTGTAGTCATTTAGTCTTTCAATGCAATCCATTATTCTTTACTCATATTCCCAACCAATGCTTCACTAAGTTTTCATTAAATCTCACATCAATTTTGATGAATAAATCTTTTTATGTGTTTGTCTTTATGTGTCTTTTATATGTTTATTGTGTGTAATATATGTTAAGTAAACTGAGAGCAGATACTGTTCCTTAACACAAACACATTAATAACACATACCCTCCCTATAAAAGTGGATCAAAATCTGTTACACAAAAAATAAAAAAGTTATTGAATTTTTGTTCACTTAATCTTTCATTGAAAGTTCAGTGAACTTATAAATAATATTTTAACAAAATTTGTATTAATCAATGTCACCAACAGATTGGCACAAAAAGAAGTGCAGACAATAGCCCGACTTATTGAACAAAATGGATTATTGCAGAGGACTGTCATCGATGGCGGTTCCGACGGTAACTCCAAGTCCTCTTACGCTGATTTGGAACAAATGTTCTCATTTTTGGCAGAAATTCAAGAGTCGAGAGGTGAAGAAATTGTTGGTGATATTAGTCAACAGTTTGATCAATTGATCCAACAAACTGAGTGTGATATGAATGATCTTAATCAGAAAATATCGGAAATGCCAGTTGAGTCCATAGACACACCAAACAGTCCTATGCTTCCACCCACCGGTTCAGATATGCTATCAGATACTATACCATCAACAGTATCCACTACACCACTGCCATCACCAGGTGGTGATCACGACAGACAAAGTAGAGAAGTGGACAGTTTGATCAGTGCCACAGAGTCGGAGCGATCACCACTTTATACTCCATTACAACAAACAGAAAGAAGTTATTCATTTGAATTTCAAGACGAAGACGAGAACCAGTCGTTTGTCGTTCAAAACAACATTAATAATATAAAGCAATCGCTAACTAATGGAAATTCAAGCGATAATCAACATATTATGACTGAAAAGATCAACGGATGGACTGATAAAGATAAGACTCCGATAACGACACCAATAATGCAACAGTCAGTGATCGACAATAAATTGTTGGCAAAACAACAGATGATATTAAATGAACAACAAAATGATAAAAATGTTGTCGATTTGCGGACACACGATATGACAGAGTTTGCCGACAAGTTTTTTAATAATCACATTCGCGACTTCGGTAGTGGTGTTATCCGGACGTTAACTCGTAAGAGGAAGACTGGCGACGATTTTATACCAAAAGCTGAAATGTTTGTTTGGACGGCTAATAATGCCATTCCCACCACTCATATTCATCTTCATGACCCAGAAAACGTAGTGCTCGGGTGCGCCATATTCAAGGAGTTAAGCAAATATATTGAGGGAAATCTTAAACTCGAAGCTGAGGTTCGGCTCATTCAGACTATCATTGGTCACGGAATAGAACGCGAAGAATTGAGAGATGAAATATTTGTTCAATTGGTTCGTCAGTCAAACGGAAATCCATCGCGCGATGAAACTATTCGGGTGTGGATGATGTTAGGACTGACCACTGCTGCCTTTCAGCCGACCAAAGTGTTTGCCAAATACTTTCTTAGTTATCTTCGTAAACATCTTCGTAAAGACGCATCCATTTCATGTTACGCTCAGTTCTGTATCGATAATCTTCAATCACCGAAAGCTCATATCCGACGTATGCCTCCGTCATCTCTTGAGATCAATGCTGTTCGTACACTTAGTAGTCTTGTTTGTCGCTTTTACTTCCTCGACGGTCGTACCAAAGCTATAGACATACATCCATGCGATACTGCCAACGATGCAATGAACTGTTTGTCTAATAAAATAGGTTTGCGATCATTAGAGGGTTGGGGTCTTTACGAAGTGACTCCAGAATATGAGAGAGTCATCAAAGGACACGACTTTATAGCCGATATTATTACAAATTGGGAAATGTTTCAAAAGAATAGTACTTATGGTACCAAAGGGTCAGCCAAACAAAGCTTTACATTAGGTGGGGGCGACTGTCGGTTTGTGTTCAAGAAAAGATTGTTTAAAAACACGTGCGAAATACCACACGACCCCATAGAGGTCAACCTTTTATATGCTCAAGCAGTTCACAATGTTGTCAAAAAAGATGAATTCCCAGCGAGTGAAAGGATAGCTTTACAATTGGCTGGACTTCAAGCTCAGGTATCACTCGGTGATTATGTCGAGGGAAGACTATCGAGTTATGAAGACATCGAAAATTATATCTGTTTTAGGATTAGAAAAGCAGCCAATTATACAAAGATGGAGTGGGCCGTCAAAATAGCTGATGCACACAGAATGTATGGCAAAGGCAAAGCTGATCTCGTGGCCAAAGTCTGGTACTTATCGGTTGTCATGCAATACCCGACATATGGAGCCACTCTATTCCCGGTCACATATAAGGGTTATCTCTCCTACGGACACAATCTGATGCTTGGAGTTAATTCTGAGGGTATATTGATTACCAATCCATCGGATAAATCAATACTTAATGCTTACCGTTATTGTGATATTGAATCGCTGACTGTATTTCCAACTGAAAACTTGTTGTCTATAAAACTGATCAAAACCTTAGTTGAAAGTCATAAGGGATTAATATTGACATTTGAGACGAATCAAAAAGAAGAAATCGCAGCACTTGTGGCCAGTTATTCACCGAATCACTCAAATTGGATGAGACAAACAAATGCTATCAATGGACTAAACGGTGCAAATGGTGAACCTAATAGACGAAGACTCTTGAAAATGACTTTAGAGGACCGAATGAAGTTACATCACGATGTAGTCAACTGTCGCCGAGTCCTTATTGATAGTAATATCATGAGACGACCGCCCGATGAAAATCGTGGACTTTTCCGCAATACGTTAAGACGTCTAAATAAAGTCCGAATCGATAAATTGAAACAAGAATTCGGGTCTGAGTTCGATGAGGCCTTCTTTCGACATTTTCCGCACTCATTCTGGGCTTATACCAAAAGTCCAATGCAAAACTCCATACTTGTTATATCTGATCCTGAATTAGAAGCCATGGCTGTCAACAATTTCAATGCCATTTTGGCCTATTCTGGATTAAACATCGCAGAAACTGAAGAAAGTGCTTTGGATGAAAAAGAGTGGCCACGACATCAGGAAAAAGATCAAATTAGATTAGCTCAGAGTATATTAGATAAATGTCTTCGTAAAGATGCAGATATTTTGCGAAACGAGTTTTTCCTACAATTAATCAAACAAACCACCGATCATCCCGATCCCAACAGTCGAGTCAATGTCCGGCACTGGCAACTTCTGGCACTGGCCTGTAGTATAACATATCCCAGTGATCGCCGTATATTGGCTTATCTTCACTCTCATTTACGTCGATGTGCTTTAGATGAGGTCACTCAAGAGGGACAATACTCTCACTTTACTCTTCGCAATCTTCAGGGAACTCTTGAAACTCGCGGTCGAAAGTTAGCCCCTTCTAGAGCTGAGATATTGAGCACAATTAATTGTCGGCGCATATATGCGAGGATACACTTTTTGGACGGTCAGTTCCAAGCCGTCGAATTTGATGCCTGTGCTGTCATATCGGAAGTGATCGAACAAATACAACTTAAAATTGATTTACGACAAAACGCTTCGGGATATGCACTCTACCAGATGCTCGGTCTTAATGAACAGGCCTTACAACCTGAAGAAAAAGTTGGCGACGCTGTGGCCTATTGGGAGAAATGGAACGAAGAACAAACCAAAACCGGAACTATCGGCAAAATACCACCAGAAAGGACTCACTTCTTCATCTTTAAAGTAATTCATGTTTTGAGAAAAACACAAATTATATAAATTTATTAATAAATTTTTTATTTATTTTGTTTACAGAAACACTTACTTTTAGACGCATTCGTTGATATGTCGGATGCGGTCGAGAAAGAGCTTTTGTATCATCAAATTGTCACAAATATACGGTTTGATAGGTTTCCTATTACAGAACAGGAGGCTGTCATGTTGTGCGCCCTTAAAGCACAGATAGATTTAGGAGATTATGATAACGGAGTTTTAGATTATCGACAACTTATTGGTCAATGTCTTCCACCTCGTCTTCTCAACAGAATAGCACCCGAATCAGTGGTTACACAGCACCAGACAATTCAGGGAATGCAAACAGACGAGGCTAAACAATCTTTCTTCAATCTGATCCAGTCGTGGCCCTTACACAGAGCTACCATTTTTGAAGTCATGCAAACTTATACCTCTTCATGGCCTAAGAACCTATGGCTGGCCATCGATCAAATGGGTCTTCATTTGCTTGAATTAAAAACTCGAGTAATTGTCTAAAATTTTAAACTTATTTAATCTTTAATATCATATCTAAATTGATTGTAATTTTCATACAGAATGTATTGTCTTCATGTGATTATCGAAATATTGTTGATTACAATCCAACCATTAATAGTCTTATGATTGTTGCGATGGCCAGCACTTCCACCAAAACTATGAAATATATGTTTTTAACACAACAGGTTTGATATTTAATAAATATATATTTGTACTCTACAGTACTGTATTATTTTTATCAAACAGGCCCTACAAATAGCACAACTGATACGCGACTACACATCAGTGTTGGCTAATGAAAGGGGAATCGGTAGAAGAAAATCTGTGGAATTTGATTTAGCACTTCGGCCGCCACAGACAGGTCATCATATGATACCACCGATACCACAACCGAGAAGAACTGTCCAAAGAGGAGCACCGGGTGGGGAACAACTGTATCAGAATCACCAATTGACGAGACAACAGCAAATACAACAACATCTTTATCAACAGCAACAACAACAACAAATGTATCAAAATATGCGACGATTGCGACCAATGAGTATACTCCAGAAACCGCCGCCACAGATCATAATGACTGAACCGGAACACGTCTAACGATACTCATTGTCTGTAAATTACATTTTAGATTAATTAATTATTTAATTGATTTATAAGTGTTTTATATAAATTTATTAATGTATTATTGATATCTATTATGATATTTATAATTATTACCGTATTTTCTGACATAACTTGCTATACAAAAACTATCTAAATTTTAGCCAAATTGAGTGATCAAATCGAGATAATTAGATATTCTGTGTGAACACCATCAACAACATCATTGAATTATAAATAGAAATACCATTTAATGACAAATTAATTACTTTAGTGTTATAATCACAATATAACTTATAAGGTATAAGGTATGTGATTGTTGTCAACAAATTAATTAGCAAAATAGCAAAACCTGCCAAAAAAGTGTCTATTATCTACAGTAGGTTATCTTTACAGTATAATATCAATTTAGACAAGTTTTTAATACAATATTATGTTGATAAACACGGTATTGAAATATTAGAATTAACTTAAAAATAAGAAAATAATTATTAGTGTATAAATAATTAATTTAACATATTCAGCTTCAATTATTAGATTTAATTGAAAATTATTTAATAACTGAAATTTCTAATTTTAATTATCATGTTTTGTGCCAATTTTTTATATAAATTATACTGTTTTTATTATTTTGATAATTTTTACTGAAATTTTTGGCTTTATAAATGCAACAGGGAGAAAAATATTTGATGATATAATGGGTTAATAACACATTAAAATTATTTGCTCAGAACATCACACATATAATCAGATAAAAAGAGAGACAAAAATTTGATTGATGTGTGGATTCATATATAATAAACCATTTTTCCACTCAATTACTGATTAGGTTTTTATTAATACTAAACATATAGAGAATCTCTTTATACATTATATACATAAACAGTATATAACATTACAATGCTTTCATTGATTATCACAAAACATAAAAACAATTGTTTTAGCAATTTTTGACTTCCGGTGCTAATTAATTCACACTTAAGTTGTGATGAGATTCATGTTTTTTAGTAACACAACATTTTTATTCAATTTTTTTGCTGTAAATAATTTTACGCTCATTTTTTACAAATTAACTTATAAATACATTTTCTATATGTAATTTATTATAAAGTTGTTGGTCACATTTTAATACTTAATTTGCGAAAAAATACGAAATTCCGGGCATCAAAGCAATTTATTTATTAAAAAAATAAAAACATAAAATGTTTTTAAATAATATTGATATATTGAGGTTTTTTTTAAAAAGCTCACTTTTTATCTGTATAAATTATTTTATATTTATTTATTAATTAAGAAATAATTTTATTGAAACTCTTGTAAATTATAACTATTATTATTATATATATGTGTAAAATAATCTCATTTGTGATATATTTTATACTTGAAGTTTTTGTTGTTGATTTGTTTACTTTAGTTAGAAAACATTGAATATTTGAGTACTTAAGTTGGGTTAGAAGTGAACAAACATTACTGAAATGTATATTTGAAAAATAGGAGAAAAGTGTAAACTTATTAATTTAATGAGTTTTCTAGTTTTTTGCAATTGTTGTAAATAAGATGATAATTATTAGACATTATTAAGGAAAGGATTGAAAGATTGGGTTTGAATCAGACGCTGAATATTATATACAAAGTATAGATTTCTAGTCATTTGTCCAAAAACTAAATAAATTGGGTTTTAAAATATTTTTACTAATTTAATTGTTATCGATTTTAATTATAATTATTTTTGATTTATGTTTAATTTTTCAATTGAATAAAATAAATTTTCGATTCTTATTTATTATAAATCGATATAATAATTGTCATTAAAATATATAAGATATTTACATAATATCTATATATTATTAGTATAAAATTTTAATTGTATAAACTAATATATGATAATAATAATTATTAAATTATTAAACTACAGCATTTTATATAATTATATGAGAAGTTATAAATATGTAAATTAAATTACTAATTGTAATTATAATAAAAAGAAAGAGAAAAATAAATTAAAATGACAGTTATGTGACTTTATATGTAATTTTGAAAGTGACACAATTAGTGTAAAATGTTTTTATTTATTAATATTATATTTATATAAAACTAAATAATGAATATGCTGTAGAGCTCATTAATTGTAATAATATTATCATTAAGTTTAGTTTATATTTTTTTCTATTTTTTTCTATTTTTTTAATTTTATTATAATTATAATGATTTTTTTTACTGTTTTTAATGACAAATTTTAAATAACAAAATAATTTTTATTAGTAATTTATTCGTATTTTTTAAATTAATTATGTAATTTTTTACTAATTGTAATAATTGGATTAATTTATGAAAATTTTTATAAAGCAAACATTTGTTGAGTATATTGTTATAAAATTAATTAAATAATTAACATTTTGATTATTTAACAAAAAATCTAATAAATGCTAACATTTAATTGATTGTTTAATATTTTGGAAAATATATAATTTAATATAATAAATAAATAAATAAATTTTGTAGTTAATGAATGAATGAGAGAAAGAAAGATAAAAAGTTGATTATTACTACATTTATAACATTAGTGTATTTACAGTATATGTAATTTAGTACAATAATATATAGTGTTAATTGTATTATGCAGTACAGTATATTTTATTGTTAATCAATAGTTATTGTTACCCAAAACTAACAATCAATAATACAATTATAGAACTCAATGAATAACTCTCTCATCGCTAAAACATTGGATAAATTGATAAAAATAATTTAGTGTTAATAAATGTTTGAAGTGATTATTGTATATATATATATATATATATATATATATAGAGAGAGAGAGAGAGAGAGAGAGAGCAGCTTGTGATAGAAAAATATATATCCGATATAATATATAATAACATAAATTTATATATAGAGAGAATATATGTAGCGTTTGGAGTATTAGGTTAGAGTGCATACATAGCATCCAAACTGTTGTGTTATATGTTATTGAATGATATGTACACTATATGTATGCAATACTACTCTTTTGCTGAATCCATAGACACAACACATCACCGAGTCTTGTATAGTCTTGTATTGCCATTGAGTAGAGTATGTGTGGCACTTGTTATATATTCAATGGTCTAACATTGTGTGCGTGAGTGTATATATAAATATATATATATATATATATACTGTATATATATTTGCGAGTAAGTGTATGGTATACGTGCTGGTGGTATACGGCATACAAAAAAATGGTGGATTTAGTGGACGACCGAAATTCATATAAAATTGAGTTACAAATCAAGAATAAAGACGACAATGATATCTATTATAAGGTATTTGTTTGACACCAATTGCTTGACTATATAAAACACAACTCACATATAATTATATATATTTGACTATATGTGAGATAACATAAGCGCATGAATTTGTTATTTCTTATTATTTAATCATTTAACGTTTGTACAAAATTTTCACTATTTTATTATTTTTATTAACATTTTGTTCTACAGTATTAATTGTATAATTATTTTTAATTATAAGAAACAAATTGCTATATACTATAAATGATAGCATAATATGTTTGTCTGCTATTATAATATATTCTGCATTATTCTGTAAAAAATTCTTGAATTTTATAGTATTTTTTCACTTTATGTCTGTATTTATGTCTCTGAAAATTCTTGATTTTCTGCTATTTTAAGCTAATATTGATTTTTTGTTGGCTTTGGAAACTGTATGAACAATAATATTAAGATATTTTGATTCATATGTCATGTTTTCTCATTTCCCATTAATAACAATGTTATAAAAATAGACGATCCGTTTACTATAATAATTGTGTTGTTGTTTAAACAAAAGTAAACATTGATATTACCAAATATGCTTAATATTGAGTTCCGTTTTAATTATATTATATATATATTTATCTTATAATATAACATACTGTATAAACTTAACATATGATATATCTATCCAAATAGCGCGATGGCCAGCGTTTTGACAGTGAATATACACTCAAATTTATGGTCGAAAATAATTATGAATTTACAGTTACTGTGAAGCCATCTCTGCCTTTACAGTAAGTTATTATTGAATTTTATTATTTTGTTTTTATATCATTTAACATCAGTTCAAACTAAACATTAATCACAAAACACCCTAAAAATATGACACTATCTAAACATTAATTTATAAATATTATATAACAATTTCCAGTTGTTTAATATAATGTGAATTACTAAATAAACATAATGTAAAACATATGCAATTTTATTTTATTTTTACTAATACATCAAAAAGGCACTAATTTAATTGCAAACTAAAACTATTAATAAAGAATATTAACATTAATCCCATTAACATTATGTACTCATAATTTTAATACTAATCGACAGAAGTGTGTCGGTGCAGGGGTCAGGCGTATCGGTGACCGACAAATCACAAGAGAACGGTAGCTCTACCTACTTGTTCTCGTGGGACTCGACTAAAATCGACGCAAATAAGAAAAAAGACAGAAACAAAGTTAGACATTAAGAATATTCTTTAAACAATTATTGTTAAACGTTTATTATATGATAAACTATAGGTACAACTGTTGCTACAATTTCAAGGAGGACTCACACTAGTCATACCATTGCAGGTAAAGTTTTATAAGAGTGAGGACACTCAGCATCTAACGTGGGGAACACCATTGCATCACATCGACTACGAGTGTCGCGTCAAACCCGGACAAACTTATGTGGATATTATTAAAACTATCTTTAGATAAGCAGTTGGGCATAAATCATACTGTTTTTGAAACATACCTTATATATATATATATTGTAAATTATAATTTACTCAACATAATTTTTTATGTCGTTACCATTAAGCGAAATTATCATATATAATTTTGCATTAATCAATTATTGCAACAATATTTATCAGTACAAATGCAACAAAATAAAACAGTTATTACATTACATAGCTAATGATATATCTAAAGTTGCAATTTAAAATATAATTATTTTAAAATAAAATACTGTAAATCCAAAAAGTGTTATTTATTGTAACAAAATAATCATCCCTATAATTAGGATAATATATAATTTTTTATAAGATATTACAAAAATTAGATTTTTATAGAATGACTACTAACTAATGTTTCCTTGGCTTCCCTTTTTCATAACAACACAATTTATAACATTTAATTAATAATAATATAAATAGTTTTATTATCAGTTTACAAATTTATTAAATATGAGTAATTTTATTCAATATTTATAATTGAATCTCAGAGATAAAAACCATTTTATATATAAATATATATAGCTTTTTATTGAATATATTTATGATATACTGTATTTTATATGTTAATATTATATAATTATTTATTATATATAGATATTATTTAAAGTTAATTTATTGTTAATGTTAATATTATTATTAATTTCTAAAAAAATCTAAAAATATCTGTAAACGTAATAATTTTAATTGTTATGCATAACATGGTTATTGTACTGTAAATGAACAATAGTTTAAAGTAACATTTATCCATCCCTAAATACTTTATTGAATATTGTATTAAATTATATTAATATTATTATAATAAATTACCATGTTTAATTTCAATTATTTTGTCAACAATCTTCACATATTCATACTAAATTATTTTATACCTTTCATTAATAAAGTTTATTTTAATTAGTTTAAAAATGTTATTTCTAATAACTGATGATAAAATTTTATAAATAATTTGTATATGGAGTTCATCTGAAAATGCTTTCTATAATTCTCAACTGGTTTATATTATAATTAGCTTAAAGTTAATTTAAAAGTGTATAATTTTAGTTGTTTTAATATTATTTTCAATATTAAATAATAGAAATTTATAGCACTAATTATGATTAACTATGAGTTTATCTTTTTTTATATTTGTTGTCAGCTAATTGTCTGATCTCATAAAAGTTAAAATAATATTACATTATATTAGTATTGTTTCTTATTTTGTTTGCTATATTAAAAATTCATTTTATTTACTATATTTCTATCAATAATAAATTTATATGATTTTTTATTTATGATTTTTTTAAATGTTTATTAAAATCATTATTTATTAATTTCTATTAAATAGTAATTACATATAATTAATTTAATTCAAATTTATCAATCCATAATTATTCAAAGTATTAAAATATCAATATATGTCAAAAACTAAGTATTAATAAAATTAAGTTATTTAATATTAAATGTATATTCATTTTACAATACTTGATAAATGAGTGTAACTATAGATAATTATTTTAGTAGATATCATTAAATTAACATTTTAGTTGATATATTGCAAACTTTGCCATTTTATGTCAGATATTAACTTAAAAACAAAATTGTCGTCATTGAAGACTATTTAGATAATAATTATATATATAATAAAAATATTTTAAATATAAACCAATTAAAAACGTTCTGACATATAATCATTTAAAATTAATAATTTAACATTTTAAACAATTAATAAAATTATTTTTTAATATTTAATTTTTATAGTATACTATAAGTTCATAATTGCATAATTTATTGTTAATAATAAATAAAAATTATGGATAAAATCTTAATATTTCTGAAATAGTGTGACCAACATTTCGGACAATTTCTTGATTATTACTTAACAAAGAAGTGGCAAACTGTCGGCCACTATTGAAGTCACGACTTTGAATAGCATTCATCAGAGATTGAAGACCAACCATAGTCTGGCCGTCCATTTGAATGCTATAAACACTATTCTGAATATTATACCACTTCTGGATTAACTCTTGTGGTATATTTGCAGATGTAATGCACGAATGTATTGTATATATAAATGAGTTGATATCAAAATTGGGACCAAAGTTAGCAACATTTGTCTGCACATTGGATGCCATTTGAGTTGTATTCATCATCGGTTGCGTTTGAAAGCCGACGGCCGCCGTATCGGATGTGCTGTACATTGTATTTGAAGTCATATTTGTTGGCGGCTGATGTCCAGCTGTGGCCATCTGTGGGTACCGATTGCGTCGATTAATCGCTAAATTATTGGATGGTTTGGACATCTGATCCAATGAGAAGAGCGGCGGATCATTCCAAGCCTTGTCAGTCATTTTCACTGATTTGATAGTCTTTGACAATATTTAATTGTTTTCGGGATCTAATAATTGTATGACCACTACAATCACCATCAAGTCTTTGTCTGTCAAAATCTTAATAAATATCATAACATATATAATATAATTAAATAGTTTTTTACCTGAAATTTGAAGACAAATAGTAATTACATTAACAGTAAAAGTGATGACTTGTTATAACAAACTTTGTTTACATGAGATGTCAATTCATTCAATGCTTTCACTAGAGATGTCTATACAGTAGACTCTTAAGCATTGATTCAATCAATTGATTGAATCGGGTTTTTTCAATGACATAGAGTGACCAAAACATTGTTCAAATAAATTGAAAATCAATAAAAATCAAAATTTCAGTAAAGTTTATACTAAAGTGTTATATTATTTTATGTTTATTATTGAACTTTTTTAATAATTAATATTTTGTTGGTATTAATGTATTTTATTAATATAACTTTCATAGTATTGTCTATTAATATAATTCATTGCATTATAAATAATTAGTTAATATGATTAAAACTGATGCAATTGTCAACTCTATTAATTAAATATATATTAATATTAATACTAGAAGTGTGAATCCGTAACATTTAAAAAAAATTGTATCAATAGTATGATAAACAACATATTTTTACCAAATAATTATGTAAATTATGCCAATTTGTTAACAATTGTATTATTTGTAATTTTTTAGATAAACATTATTTAAATATTAAAATTTATTAAAAACTTAAAACTATTTAATATACAGTATTACTATACTGTAGATGGTGTACTATATATACAGTATTTTGTATTACTAGAAACCGAAACTTTAGTTAAAATCTAACCCATAATTTACTGTTTAATACTTTATGGTTTACCCGAACCGCATTGTATAAGATTATATAGTCTATTGTGTGCACACGTAAGACATGTTGTATTTAATGCGTAACTCTTATAGTGAGTGACGTCAAGTTGTTTACAACATTTTTGGCCCAACAGTGGCATAGCTTTGACTACATTAGACTCTACACTGTATTATACATTAGTGTCGCAAACATAACACCATTGAGTGATAGAGAGAGAGACACAACACTACACACACATTGACTCAGTGTTTATGTATTATTGAATGAATGAATGAATGAATGCTAAACATTGAACACAAAACACAGTTCACAGCCATAGATGTGAAACCAGTGTTTGTTTGAGTCATTCACTCAACACTTGAATACATTTATTAATGTTTTCCACTCAAAGTGATCACTAGTTTTATAAATCAATTGATTTATTAAATGTCTAAACAATTTGGATACTCATCAACAATCAAATCAAGTAATTATATATATATTTATTAATAGTTTTATTATAACATATCATATAATTTCATTTTATTGAATATTCACTTTTAAAAAAAGTTGTTTACTATAACATTATAAACACATTTACAACGATATCATAACTATATCTAATTAAAATGTTGTCCATTAAAACATTTCAAATTAATTTAATATATAATATTAAGTATTATTTTAATGTTTATATATTTTTATTAGCAAAACAACTGTTAATAAATAATATTATACTTAAGAGTAATAATAATAATATGCTATAAATTGTTTGTAGCATTTGTTTAGCAATATTTTTATTTATTTAAAAATTGTATGAAATATTAAAATTAATATTAAGATAGTTTTTAAAATTTAATTATTTTTATATTATTGATATTATTTTTAAAAGAAAATTATAGTTACTCTATGGTTAAAATGCGCGGATTATCATTGATTGCTATATTATTTATAATTGTATTTGAAAAAATAATTGAAAAAATATTGAAATAAAATAATTTAGTATTAGTATTGTACAGTAGTAATGATATATGATATACATATAAATTTTATGTCATAGAAATATATTAATAAAAAGCAATCAATTTATAGCATTGAAAGGTGTGTCACTCATAGAGACAAAAAAAATGTTTACAAAAGTTTTATTTCATATTGTCATCAAAAAAAAACATTTTTTTCTTATAATTCATGATTAATATACACGATTATATAGTTAATGTTGTTTTTTGGTCAAAATAATTATCAAACAAAATGTATGTGATTTTTGCTAACATTTTTAAAAGATTTAAAAAATACTATTAATATTTCTTAAAAAATATTTTTTTTTATTTTTATCTATTTATTCGATAGTTTTATTATTTGTGAAATTATTTTTATTTTGTTATTTGCTAATAAATAAATTGTTTGAATTAATTATAAAGTTTTTATTTTTCAGATATTAACCTACATTATAAATGATGGTTGTATTTAACTTTAAATAATAAAAGCTTAAATTAATAATAAAATAATTTTTTAGTTAAAGTTTTTAGTAAATTTATAGTGACACAGCTAATAAATGTAATATTGATGAATTTAATTAATAGTAAATTATATATAGTATTATTAAGCATATAAGTAATAAATATATTTTATAGTTTAAATTATTGTCATTTAATTTATTATATGGCATATATTTAGTTAAAATTTATAGTATAAAGTTGTTTAATGAAAATAATATTAATTTATTAGTGATGTGTGTAATGAAATCAAAATTAGTGTAAATGTTTTAGTGATTTGATTTGTTTAATGAAATAATAATAAAACAAAACAACATATGATTGTACTTTGAAAGCGAGACATAATAACAAAACGATTGTTTGTCAAAAAATATATATTAAAAGATAAATGACTTTTGGACTCAAAGCGATGGCAACGACAAGTCAAGTATCGCCACAAATGCCCATTAATTTAGTGATACCGCCGCCCACTGCACGAGTGGTCAAAGAGGGCTGGCTTTACAAAAGAGGTTCAATTGATAACTATAGGTTTAATATATTTTATAATTAATGAAATGTTAACAATTAGGTGAACACATAAAGAACTGGAGACCACGTTATTTCATTTTGTTTGAAGACGGATCACTCATTGGCTTTAAGAACAATCCGGACGGCATTTACTCGGATCCGCTCAACAACTTTACAGTCAGGGGCTGTCAGATCATGAAAACAGATCGACCAAAACAATTCACATTTATTATTAGAGGACTTCAATGGACTACAGTTATTGAACGCATGTTTCACGTCGACAATGACAAAGACCGTAATGAGTGGTGCGATGCCATCACATTCGTTGCCGGAAGTCTATCAGTGGAAGAGGAGAGAGATGTCGAAATGGTTGACGCAAATAGAGTACAGGATGAGTATCGAAACAAACTTCATATAACTACCAGACCATCATCTAAAGGACGGCGAATTGTATGATAACTTTATATTATTATTAATTAATTGATTAATTATTATGTTTTTTTAACAGACATTAGAAGATTTCGAGTTTCTTAAAGTGTTAGGAAAGGGAACATTTGGTAAAGTGATTCTGTGTCGCGAAAAGGTTACCGGTTTGTTGTATGCAATTAAAGTGCTTAAGAAGGAAACCATTATTGCCAAAGAAGAAGTGGTTCACACACTCACAGAGAATCGAGTTCTAAGAAACACAAAACACCCGTTTCTTATTGTAATTAAATTTATAATACATTACTAATAATAATAGCGTAGTTGTAAATTGAGTACATTTATTGCACTAACAAAACACTAATAACATATGTATCTGTTTTTTGTATCACTGTTTGTAACAGTCATTGAAGTACTCTTTCCAAACGGGGGATCGATTTTGTTTTGTTATGGAGTACGTGAACGGCGGAGAACTGTTCTTTCATTTATCACGCGAAAGAATCTTTACCGAAGAGCGGACCCGTTTCTATGGCGCACAGATACTACTAGCCCTCGAGTACCTCCACCAGAGAGGTGTCATATACCGGGATCTTAAAGTAAGTCTTGATTTGTTATAATTTTTTGTTTATTTGCGTCTAAAGTCTTTTTTTCTGTAGTCATATAATAGTAGTGTTTGTTATGTTATATTACGGTATTAAACTATATATACTATAAAGTATGAGTAAATATTTACACATAAATTTAATTTTAGTATTATTATTATAGTACTATATTTGTAGTAAACCTAAGAATAAATTATGGTTTTGTTTTGTTATCTTTTTCTGTTTAAGTATACAAATATAACTTTATATTTAGTAAATAATAATTTTAGTGAGAATCGCAACATTAAGTAAAAATGATTCATCATTTTGTTTATAAAACTTATTTTCTTTTTATAATCTCTGTTTGATTCAATTAGCAATAATTATTCACTAATGAACACTGTATTTATTGAATTATTGTTTTTATTTCGTGAATTTACATTAAAATGTTGTCAATATTTGTTGAGAAAATTAATTTACATTAAAGTAAAAACAAAATTGCATTTATTAAATAAACTGCAATTTGATTGAATGAATTGAGTTACTATTTATTAGTTTATATTGTTTGTTTATTTTATTTATTCTCTATTGTCATATATTATCTTTATTAAACATTATAATAATATCTGTAATATCAATAAATTAACGATAAATGTTTATATCATTTATAAATTAAAAGCTCGAAAATCTATTGCTCGATAAAGAGGGTAACATAAAGATAGCCGACTTTGGTCTCTGCAAAGAGAATATCACATTTGGATCGACTACCAAAACATTTTGCGGAACTCCAGAATATTTAGCACCGGAAGTTCTCGAGGATACTGATTATGGACGAGCCGTATGTTTTAATATAATGTTTTAATTAAGTTTGATTGATAATAGTTAATGATTATAAAGGTTGATTGGTGGGGACTGGGAGTAGTAATGTATGAGATGATGTGCGGTCGACTGCCATTCTATAATCATGATCACGATATACTGTTTGAGTTGATTCTTGTCGAAGAAGTTAAATTCCCCCGAACTTTGTCAACTGAGGCCAAGAATCTATTACAGGCACTTCTTGTTAAAGATCCTCAGAGGAGGCTCGGAGGTGGTGCTGAAGATGCTAAGGAAATAATGTATCACCCATTTTTTAGAGGTATTGTCTGGCAGGACGTCCTCGAAAAAAAGGTATGTTTTTTCAATTATTTATTTATTCAATGGTTTGAATTTCATTATTTATTGTTTATCTCAGGTGATGCCTCCATTTAAGCCTCAAGTGACCAGCGATACCGACACCCGATATTTTGATCAGGACTTTACAGGTGAGTCAGTTCAGTTGACTCCACCCGAACAAACAACATTAAATTCAATCAACGAGGAGACAGAGCAACCCTACTTCCAACAGTTCTCATTTCATGGCAGTGCCACAGCATTAGCCCAAAGCATTGATCAATAGTGTGACACACTTTAATATATCTCATAATTTTCACCACTAATATTGCTACAAATTATTATATCAGTTTAGTTTTTGACTACATATACCAATATTTATATATAGTATATACTTGGAGTTATTTTTGCTCATATAGTGTGTATATATACAGTATATGTTATGTAAAATAATTTTGTTGAGACATAAACTCACAACTAGTGATTTATGAGCAAAAAAAGCGATGTGACGGCCAAATACTAGCTGATGAAAATGAGACAAACAGACATACAGGGGAACGGCATGTTTCAAGGATGACATGATTTTTTTAAAAATACATCATTTTAAACAGATATAGTCTGTCTATCACTATCTCGTTATACATGTGATGAAGTGCTGGTATTAGTGGTGTATGTGTGGTGTCTATATATCAGCAAACGATAAAACTATTTTCATTATTCAAGACATCAAGTCATTCCACTATTTGCCTCAAATCAAAATCATAAATTCAAGTGAAAACATTTTATAAAAAACATGTTATCGTTATATTAAAGTTAATAATAATACTATGAATGGCGCTTTCATTGTCGTATAAAAATGTGTGTTATGTTTGGCGACAACCTGATAGTCGGCCACATCAAGTGTTTATTGTTTTTGTGTGGTTTTATAGTTGAAAATACAGTATTAGTACTGTACCTATAATATGATAAAACTGTAGAGTAATAATGATTTCTGGGATACCGGTGTGTCATTGATTTTTTTTTTAAATCATTAGGTTTTTTTTGCATTTACAAAGTCTATACTAAGTTTTATAACATAATAACATTTTATTAACAAAAATATCAGTAATTGCTGTTTATATGTGTCAACAGTTAGATAATAGCGAGAAATGTTTGTTTGTGAAACCCAGTGATCTCTTTGACTCTTTCCAAATGGTATTACATTATATTAAATATATAGGAAGTCATTGGAAAGAGTGATATGAAAATGTGTGTAAAGATATGATACAAAAACAGATCCATAAAATTATAAATTTTTACTCCTATATTATGTGCAATCATTACGTCAATGGGTTACGTAACTTGTTTTTCATTGTGATGTTTTTCAATCTCTAACCGTCACCTGAATTATCATATTATTGTATTTATTTTATATATTAAATTACAGTACAGGTATATATCATAGCACTATTAAAGTAAACAACATATTGTAGAGATTTTATATAAATGAAAATGATATTTGTTTTTAATATATATATTAATAGATTATTATATAATAGAAAGCTATGAAAACAAAATTGAATTATTGTTTACTGATATTTTTATTATTATTACAAATAACATTCAAACTTATGCACTGAATATAATCTAGAATCGTTTTTATTATATATTATATTAATTTTATAAATATGTTTATACAGTATTTAAAAATCTATGATTATTTTTTTTAATATTGATAATTATTTTGTGATTATAATTGTTTGATTGTTACAAGTTGTAAGTTTCATTGTATTTTAGTGTGAATTTATTATATATATATACTGTATATACATATAAGAAACAAAAAGAAAATCACTGATAAAGTAATTGTTTGTTAATTTTGTTTTAAATAACAATTACATATAAACGACACAAAACCGGTTGTCTTTTCCAATGAAATTAGTGAAAAAACAAAACTAATTATATGGTTAAGAAAATTAATATTAGGGGTTTAGATAAAGGGGTATAAATACATGAGATATCATTATTTCACTTAACATTAGTTTAATTTTTAAAAATAATATAAAACAAGTTGTAAATTTGTGTTAATTTTTATTACGATATCTCATTATATTTATTATAAATGACCACAATTTTGCTCAATAATGTCTGTAATTATCCTTATATTTCTGCCATAATTTACCCTAAAATATAGTAAATATCTTTATTAAAGATTCTTTAATCTATGCATTTGTTATAAATATTAAAAGTTGTTAAACAATTATTAAACAAAATGCTATTTAATAATAAATATGATTGTATTGATTAATATAATAAATCGATTATTTTATTTATACTAATGGATGTCATCAACAACTATAATGTGATTTCACTTTTGTAACAAAAAACGACATTTTAATGATTTGTTTTATTTAAACCTTTTTTCAATTGAATTTCGATAAAAAGCGAAAACATTTTTAGCACTTTTACTGCAAGAGCTTATCATTTGTTGCATTTGATTAAAAGTCATATCACCCGTCGTTACCACAGATATTACACTATTTTGTATGCTTTCAAATACAACACATCCGACTGCGGCCGCACTTTGACTTTCTTCATCACTCGGATTAACAATGAGTTGACCCGATTCTGTAATAATGGCCTCAACGGCGGCCAACAGGTATTTGAGTGGAAATCCCGAGTCAAGTAATGCCAGAACAGATCCATTAAGACACGTAGACATGAATGAACCGCCGGATTGTAACTCTTGTAATGTCACTGTTAGGAGAGTTCGTGGATAAAGTCGGGCGTAAAGTATTGACAATAGGTTTGAGTGAAGGAATCGTTCGATAGCTTTAGTCTGAGGATCGTCTAAATTGACACACATTTGGCTATAAATACATTTGTCTTCATTTATATTAATACATACCTCTATTGATGTTACGTATGAGTCGCCGATAGTGGACGTCAAGAGCACAACCGGTCGGATCTTCTTTGTTTTGGTGCACTTCTGTCGGTCCGAACACCGATGTCTGGACAACAGTATCGCCGAACGAATAGAGCGACGAACCATCACTTCGGTTCAGATTTGACAACACAACAGATTGGATGCGATCGCGGGATGACATGAGTGGTCACAAAGTGGTTATAAATCAAATGATGTTTCGGTAGTTTTGTTGTCATAAGTCAGACATATATAGAAAACACGTGTTTTTCTCAGAGTTTGTGTCAATGCGTTCACTGATTGGCTGATTGTTTGCCAAACAAAACACTTGACGTCAACTCAATGTCTGTAATACTCTGTAAACGTCACCACAAATACACATCTCATTCAATATTATTGTAAATATCAAACAATTATTGGTTAACAACAACACGTGTCCAGACATTTATTCATCGCAAGTGTAGATCACTCAAGACATCAATAACAACAAAATGTCGGCAAAAGTGTTTAAAGTTGTCGACAGTTTACGTGAGGTTTGTCTTGAAATTACCATTTGTTTCATATAATTAATTGAGTTTTAAAATGATTTTTCAATTAGCGTTTTCTTCATTTTGCTGCCATTTCGGATCAATTGCCAGATACCTATCGATCGGGAATTGTTTTCGGCTTCACTTCAGTTGATGAGAACAACTGTAGCTATTGTTTAGGTTGTGTAGACATCGATGAAGACATACCATCTGGTAATACAATTCAAGGCGTCTATTGTTTGATATCTTCGGCATCTGAACAGCACTTACTTGATTTGTGCCAAAAGTTTGCTAAAAGTAAGAAAAGTGGAAAATTAATTATTTTAACTATCGGTACAGTAATTGATAATCAGACGCCAGAATTGATTACAAAATTTTATGACATTAAGTCCAAGAAATTGTGCGAATGTTCTCTAGAAGTGGTCAACGATAATGAAGTCATTGCTAAGACAATAATTGTTCGCTTAAGAGCTGATATTTGTTTATCATTTGAGGCAACAGTTGAAACATTTTTAGATGAATTAATGAAATCAACAGATAATGTTAAAGAAGTGATCAATTCATATGATATACAGTTAAATCAGTCAAGTTTTAAGACCAACATCAGTGTCACTGATAATTCATACAATTCTATAACATTAAGTGATCTTTACTCATATCTCGAAGAAGATCCCGATATGTTTGATGGTATTGAAGTGCCAGCAAATATGCGAAAGAAAATGATTGAAAAGATGCGCAAACAGAAAGCTAATGACAAAAGTCCTCTTGAGTTTGTTGTCACCAATGGTTCAAATGTCAGCCATTTAGCTGAAGACAACAAAAAGTTTACATTCAATATAACTATTGACTGTTTATCACTAATTGAAGACAACAATACTATTTCATATTTGTTGAGACAATTTTCAAATCAATTGAAACAAAAGTTGAGTTCATTTGCCAACGCTATCGCAGAGTTTGAATTACCAAATGTCGTATTAGACTTCGAGCCGTCAAAGTTATCGACTCCCGTGACATACAATTTTTGGCCAAAAAATGCGACACATTTTATATCGTTAACTTATCCGAAGAATGCTACTGACGATGAACTAACCGAACGGCGAAAACATTTTCATTACCGATATTTGATTCCTTTAGATCGACCGGTGTTTCGAAAATCAAATCGTTATTTGTTGGCCAACGAACGTCCGAAATCCGATTACTTATTATCAGTTCACAATGGTTTAAAAGAATCGGGTATTAAAAATGGACAAATCTATTGTGTTAGCGGTGACTACACCTATCATCACTATATGCAGGACAGAATTGATGACAATGGCTGGGGATGTGCTTATAGGTCATTGCAAACTATAATTTCTTGGTTTAGACATCAATCATACATTGATAAACCTGTTCCCACTCATAAAGACATTCAACAAGCACTGGTAGATGTTGGCGATAAAGAGCCATCATTTATAGGTTCGCGACAATGGATTGGTTCACAAGAAGTTAGTTATGTTTTAAGCCATTTGTATGGAATTACTTCCAAAATAATGTTTGTTAACTCTGGCGCTGAATTGAGTAATAAAGGTCGAGAATTAGCCCATCATTTTACTAGTAATGGAACACCTATTATGATAGGTGGGGGTGTATTAGCCCATACAATCCTTGGTGTAGACTTCAGTGAAACCACTGGTGATATCAAGTTTCTTATACTTGATCCTCATTATACTGGTTCTGAAGATTTGATAACAATTCAAAAGAAAGTGAGTTTTTATAAATTAATATTATAGAGAAATTTATTGCTTATATTTTTTTAAACTTTGTGTTTTAAGGGGTGGTGTGGTTGGAAAGGAACTACATTTTGGGACAAAAACTCTTTTTATAATTTATGTCTTCCTCAACGACCTGATATATATTAAATATTTCGCTAAACTTTGTATTAAATTTATGTATTAACTTAATCACAATATTTATTATTGTTGTTGAACTATAAGATTATTGAAATGTTTTTATCTGATAAATGAATTATAAAATTTGAAATATTATACAATAATTGAAATAAATTGCATTATTAAAAAAAATAAATTATAAACTATCTAAACAAATATTTACATATTTCGGGTATCATTATCCCCGTCCAAACCTCTCGTATTCCTACAACAGTCTTGGTCTCAATGACTATAAATACAGTGCAATAGTGCTGATGAAGGTGTGCTGTCAACCACCGAAACGATATCAATATCATTAATTCACTAGTATTTTGTGATTATAGTGTTTTTTCAACTAAAGTCAAAAGTTTTTACTTAAAACTATTTAATATACAATATGTAAAAATAACTACCGGTACTAAGTAATTACATTACCAGTAAATTTATTTTTTATATTGTATATACTGTATCTATATTATATAATATAGTAATTATTAAATATAGTTAACTAGTGTCATCATTGAATGTTTATTATTTAATTTTTATAAATGTGTATTAATATAGTTTTTAAATTATAAAATATATTGACATATAGTAATATATTATATWTATCATGATATATTTATATTTCAACAAATGATTTATAGTAATGGCATAAAGCACTGGCAGTCAGGGACAGACTGTTTAAATAGACTTATCTATTCTATCAGCAAATAGAGAGAAATATGAATTTTCTGCGAAAATATTCTCGTTTTTGGATTCCTAAGAGTTTCTAAACCAATCCCTAACCATATAATACAATAATATACCTGTTTTCATAACTAACCAACTTTTAAGTGTTTCTTCCAATGAGAGGCACGACTGGGTTTCAAAGTTAGACAAATGTGAATAACTATACATTTGTCAATTAACTCAATGTAAGGCATGGTTTCATTAAAACACAATCAGTGATAGAAATATTTAAAAGTAAATTCACTGAATGCCAACAAATGGATAATGAATTGTTTGAAGATTTTTATGAAAATACATTAACAACAGATAATGACAGGTATATAGATTTTAAAAGCTTTAATTATTTTTTATAGTACTGTATGTATTTTTAGTACATATATTAATACAATATCTATTAAATTTAGTATTTCAAATAACAATATTTATTAAAATTTTCATTATATATAAAAATTTTAATTAGGTTTATTTAATTTTAATCAATATCAAATTAAATTTAGTCTCAGTTTACACACAGTTTTGATAATACAAGCGTTAGTTATAAGCATTAACAAACTCGTATAAACTGAATATTACTGAATCATTATATTGTTGAATACATTGTTTAAATACTGTATAATATAGGCTCTATCTTAAAATCAGACCAGCATCAGACTCCCGACTCATAATGTTTTGTGAATATCTATTAAACTATATTTTTAATGACCACAAGTGGCAAAGTTATAGATAATTTTAGACTCAATATATTTATAATTAATTATAAATATATTGAGTCTAAAATTATCTATAACTTTGCCACTTGTGGTCATTTTTATATTAAAAATATAGTTTAATAGATATTCACAAAACATTATGAGTCGGGAGTCTGATGCGGTCTCATAGTAAGATATAGCCTATAATATACAGTGTATATAATTTATATAATATAAAACTAATAATGTTATAAAGCATTTACTATATATGTGTTTAATACAGTTAAAGACTATTATATCAGATCAGATATCATTGTTTAAATAAAAATAATTGTTTGGCACTTATAAAGACCGGCCTAATCAAGTGATTGTGTCTAATAAGGTTTGAGATTAAACTATTCAAAACATGATATGACTTTGTTTTGAATTTTACTTAAGAATTTTGATATTATTTTTTTATAAAAATAAATAATTCTCTATAAAATTAGTAAATATAGATTTAATACTATTTATATAGAAATAACAACTAAAATAAACAAATAAATTTGACAAATAACTAATTGTCATTATTGAAAGTAAACCAAAAGTATTAAGTTGGTTAGTTACTAAACCTTGGTTATTTTCTATAAATGCATATCCTTTTTATTGTGATACAGTCTATAGTACATTATATATAATACTGTATACTATATATTGTTGTTAATTGCAATAATAACTTATAAAATTGATAATATTATAGATTGAAGAGAGAGAGAGAGAGAGAGAGAGAGAGAGAGAGATTGGTATACTCATGCCGACTGGCATAAAGCCATATATACTGTACAGTATATACATATTACAGTTACCTATGTCTATGTCTATAACTGCGCGCATATTCATTGTAAAGTTCAGTTGAGTTCAGGCAATTCATGTGTTGTTATATATGTTTGAGAATTAAGAGAAAACGAGTAAACGACTCGTGAGATACAGAGAGAGAAAGAGAGAGAAAAAAGGAGAGAATAAGAGAGTAAAGAAAATAAAACGAAAAATGACTAATCATTTAGTTATATAGTTTTGTTGGCCATTATATGTTTGAATATATCTCATGTGGTTTTATTAAATATTCTGTGAGTCACTTATATTCTGTGTAAAAATTCTTGTGTTGACATCAATTGAATGGCTGATTGTGTGGTCTTTAAAGATGCGCCCTCATCGGCCTCATCGGACGGGTATATATTTTATACCACTTCTTATACATACTAATCATATCATATTCATCGATATTCTTTGCCAACAACGATATGTTAGCTTATAATATTAACATACAGTACACATAACATATCTTATAATTATAACCCACAAAAAATAATTATTTTTATATAAAATATTAACCATATTTTATGGTTGATTTTAATTGTCTAACACCGACATCAGTGGCAGTAGCGATGATTTGTGCTATGAAATTGGCATTCCGTATAACAGACAGGAATCAGTGGCCACCGACTCACCAGAATCGCCACAATCTCCTGCATCGCCTCGCATTGGACAGCGGGTGAAACGGGAGCGAACACTATCAATGTCCAAATCGGCAAAGTCGGCCACAAAGACGGATACTGTGCTAAGAACAAGACAGCGAACTATTTATACTTCGGGTCGTCCGCCGTGGTATGACACTCAAGGACAGCCTAATGAATCATTTGTTATTGGTTTGCAATTTTTTATAACATAATTTTGCAAAAAGTTACAATTTTAGAGAATTTTAAGTTTTTATATATAAAATAGGAATATGTGGTGGAAGTGCTTCAGGAAAGACAACTGTGGCTCAAAAAATAATTGAGGCTTTGGATGTGCCGTGGGTTACGCTACTGTGTCTCGATAGCTTTTATAAAGTAAAATATAATTAATCATATTATTTAAGACAATATATACTAAATGTTATAATGTATAATAAATATTGAATCAATGATTAGGTGCTGAATGAAGAACAGCATCGTTTAGCCCATAATAATGAGTATAACTTCGACCATCCGGACGCCTTTGACTTCGATCTGATGAATGAAACTTTACGTAAACTTAAAGAAGGCAAACGAGTGGAAGTTCCTATCTATAACTTTGTCACTCATTCCCGGGAAAAAGTTACAGTAAGACAACTGACCAATAATTATATCAAAATTAGTATATTTGGGTCTATAATAGTAATCAATTTGATTTTAATTTGAATTAATGACAACAAACAGAAAATAATGTACGGCGCAAATGTCATCGTTTGCGATGGTATTCTTCTATTTGCAAACAAAACATTAGTCGATATGATGGATATGAAAGTATTTATTGACACCGATTCTGACATACGACTGGCCAGACGTATGCGTAGGGATATCACTGAAAGAGGTCGAGATTTAGAGGGTGTTATCAAACAATATAACCAATTTGTTAAACCTATGTTCGACTATTATATCGCCCCCTCAATGATTCACGCCGACTTGATTGTGCCCCGAGGAGGCGAAAACCAAGTGGCCATTGATCTTATTGTCCAACACGTCCACACACAGCTCCAATCAAAGGGACTTAAATTGAGGTAATATATATATATACTATATGTATAATGAATAAAATGCTTACTAATGTTAATAAATTAAGATCTAAATTAATAAAAATCCATTGCGACCAACCATTACCTAAATCACTGAGACTACTGCCGCCCACATCTCAGATCAGGGGAATGCATACATTCATCAGGAAGAGGGAGACGTCCAGAGATGAGTTCATATTTTATTCAAAACGATTAATGAGACTATTAATTGAGTTTACACTATCATTGCTACCATTCAAAGTAAGTGTCATTTAATAAATCAAAGTTATTGTCAATTAAAGTAATTAAAATTTTTAATTAAAAGGAAGTTATTGTGGAAACTCCACAAAATATCAGTTATCACGGAAAACGTATTGACTGTCAAAAAATCTGTGGAGTGTCTATATTAAGGGCCGGGGAGACTATGGAACAGTCACTTTGTGAGGTCATCAAAGATGTGCGAATCGGAAAGATATTGATTCAGACTAATAGAGATACAGATGAACCTGAAGTAAGTACTGGATTTTGTTTTCATTATTTATTTAAAAAAAACAATATTTTCAATCATTACAGTATTATATTAAAGGTAATTACACCTATATTTGATATTTTCGCAGTTGTATTATTTAAGATTACCAAAAGATATAAAAGATTATAAGATAATGCTTATGGACGCAACTGTAGCCTCAGGAGCGGCTGCAATGATGGCTATTAGAGTTCTTCTTGACCACGACGTACCCGAAGATAATATATATCTCTTATCATTATTAATGGCAGTTTCGGGCGTTCATTCTATAGCTTACGCTTTTCCTAATGTTAAAGTTATCACCACAGAAGTTGATCCCGAAGTTAGCGACAAATTTTATATATTACCCGGAATTGGTATAAATATATATTAAAAACAAACAATAATTTGTTTTAATACTAATTTTATTTTAATTATAATCTTTAGGCAATTATGGCGACCGTTTCTATGGTACCGAAGCATCGACTGATTATTAGATAAGTTTATATATATTACAAGAAAATGAATTTTATRGTGAAATTTGGCACTCAATCCCAATMCGTTGACATAATTTTTATAAAAATATAATTATATATCTATTTTAGACAAATAGTTTTTAATACATTTTTAATTATTATTAAAAACAAACAATTTTTATAACTTATTAAACTTTATTGAAAGCAATTAAAATTGAAAGTTGATTTTATATTTCTAACTAAACTAGTCATTAGAGATAAAATTAATTTATAAGTTAATAATAACATCACAAAATAATATATGTTATGACCAGAAATTGATCCTTGAATTTGTAATGTGATATTAGTTTGAAAGTGAATAATATAAAACATTTAACATTAATTTGACTTTTTTTGTTTCATTTTTCAAATACAATTAAATGCTTATAATGTAAATGAAACACAAAAAATTAATATTTTGATATATTTAATGAAAACAAAATTATATGTAATTTTGTAATATTATACAAATTGGATATTTTAACAAACATTTGTGTTAAAAATAAAACGTGAAAAATATACTAACATTTAGAAAACAATTGATGGGAAGGGATATTCATTTGCCTTTACTTCGGGGTCGAAGATCATCGTAACAATGATGAAGAAAAATATAATTCTTTTTCTGTGGATTATAGTATTCGTGTCCTTTAGACCAGTCATAACTCACGGCATATGCAAACAGTTCTCCCCGTGAACTAAAACAACACGTTGTAATGGGCTGTTCCAACTGTTCAGATGTCTTAAGCTTAGTTCGGGCATCTTTGTCCCAATAACTAAACCGACCGTCTGATCCAACAGTGGCCAGTGTTCCGTGATGAGGATGAAAAGCAATGTCATTTACAGCAAAAATATCTTGAAATCCATTATTAGTTCCATTACTTCGATGACATTTGAATGTGAAGTTGTCTTTGGGATTGATTGGATTCACATACTGAATTGCTACCCGTCCCTCAACACTACCTAAAGCAAAACCAGTGGGCGGTTGGTTTGCCTTCTCTTTATCGGTGAATATTGAGACACATCTGTGTTGATATTTAAGCGGCGATTCCACGCTTTTGTAAGCTTGTAATCCCTGTTCCAATGAATACACAATTATGCCTCTATTAGCAGTGCCCACAACTGCCATCGGGTAATACACGTCAGCACAATAACACCGTTCGGGCAGTTGTACTGTCTGTACCGGGTTTGGTGTTCGCATATCCCATAACTAAATCATTCATTAAATTCATAATTAAAATAAATTATAAAACAAATTAATAAATAAACAAACTTTTAGTGTTTTATCCCAACTGCCAGTCATAAGACAGGTATAGTTTTGTGCTTTAATGAAGTGACACGTTTTGACCGGTTGGTCGTGTTGTGCCACTTGAAGACACTGATTGCTATTCAGATCCCACATCTTCACTGTCTTATCACAAGAGGCGCTGAAGACTTTTGTTCCGTCCTATTAATCAATCAAACAAATCATATATTTAGTTAATAATGTTTTAACTGATCACTGGTTCATAGTATACATCACTGAAGGCGAGGTCGAGAACAGGTCCGGCGTGTGTTTGCTGTGCTTTGGGAACTGTCGACCAATTGTTTGTCTGTGAATTGCCCGACACTTCCCAACATCGGATCTGGTTATCCCACGAACCACTCATCAGATAATTTTGTTGAAGCGATGGCGGACTAAACATAAGACAACTAATTGAGTCATCCGGTGGAGACATAACCTCCAAGTCTTTCATCGGGTTATGTGATTGAGAGGACAACAATGGATTCAGCGATGAAGTGGACGACCCGAACATCGATGACGTGCCGGTCGACCCAAACATCGGTTGAGTCACACCAGCGGTCGAACCGAAGAAACTCATTGTCTTTTCGGAAATGTCTTTATTATTGTCTTAAATGACAACCAATTGGTCACACAATTAATGTCTTCAGCGACGAAATCAATGCGTTTTCAAACAATTGACGACAAAATACAGTAAATGTAAACAATATATGAGTCGTTCATATAATACGTTATTTTATACTCAATACAGACATTAATCGATATAATAAACTAATTATTAATAATACAGTATTTGAGTTATAGTTTAGATATTTTTATTTAATATTATAAAAATGATTATTAAATTAAATTAATATATTTTGAAAATATTTTATATATATATTAAGCTTTTTCTATTAAATTCATAGATTTTGAAAATAATTTTATATTTAAACAAATATCAAATATTATATTATCTTATTATAACTTTTATGATTATTATTAGTTTTTTATATAATAATTATTATTATAAAAATTAATATACAGTACAGTGTAGTACAATATAATACAGTATTACTTTTACATACAATTAATTATACTGTAGTTGTTTGATATGATAGTTAATATTAAAATTAATTATTTAATAAAACATTTATTTAATACAAACTACAGTACTATATGTATGATATATATATAAATTTATATTAAATTGATATATTATTATATATAAAATATAACATATTTGTCAACAAAAAATATTGAATGAAATAACAAATTTTTTTCTAAAAAAAATAATTTAAAAAATAAGTAATTATTTGAAACATTTCTCTCAAGAATTATAATAACATTTTATATACAATTTGTGATTAATTTAGTGACAAATCTTTACATTTATTTCTAACTAAAAGCTGTTTTATATATAAAAGTTGTTTTCACTATATTTTTGTCGCAATATTTTCAGTGAAATATTTGGTGAAAAACCCGAAAAACGACTTCACTTTTCAACCATTGATTTCATCAAAACAAGCCATTATTGACTGCATATCTGATGAGTGTTTATCACCGGTGAAGACCTGTTACGGTAATCAAGTGGACAACATATGGCTGCCATAAATGTGTCGCCAAAAGTATGGCTAACGGCCATCATATCGATGGTCGTCCTATTGATGGCCTATTGGTATGACAAGAGCCGAGTGGATGACCTGTTGGCCAGAGTTGAGTTGACGCACCAGAGTTTGCTTGACATAGAAGCCAGTGTTTCAGTGAATCCTAAGACTAAAATAGCTATTGGTTTTGGTTCTTGTGTTGATGTTATAACACAGTCACGGGATGTCATACTAGACAGGTATCGGCCACCAAAAGACCCCAAACCTCATGATATAATTGAAACAACAGATGAATTGCTGGAAGTATTTACTTATTACTTCCAATTCGGTGCCGCGGCTGAGTATGTCATGTCCTTAATGACCCGTAAAACACATTTTATTTAATTATTATTTTATTAATAAAACAGACGTTACATCAAAAACAGTACACTTTTTGATGAGTTGGTTGCGGCGGCTAATAGTGGCCAACACACGAAAAGAATGATTGGCGGCAATGCACCGATTATGGCCACACGTTTTGCTAAAGAGGGTGTCGGCCACGTACTTCTGGCAGCGCAAGTGTCAACACAACTTGAAAGTCAATTACCGACAGATATCGTGTTAAGTGCACCACATCTTCCTAAAGATGATATCCATCTTCTGTTGGAATATCCGTTGAACGAGTACTGGAGTGATCGTTATGTGAGTCCGCGCGCCAACCGCTTCATTGTACACAACGATCACAACAACCCTTTGTTAGGATCTTTGGATACTTTCTATGAAAAAGCCATTGAGTTTAAGCCGCAGTTAGTTATTGTTAGTGGACTACAAATGATGGATAACTTTCCAATAGATTTTGAAGTCCGTCGACAACGAATTGAGATATTAAGACAATCATTAATTAATTTAAGAAAAAACGACAAAAGTATTAAAATTCACTTTGAAATGGCGTCGTTTGCAGAAGAGATACTTCTCAAGACTATATCTGATAGAATATTTCCAATTGTCGACAGCATTGGTCTCAATGAACAAGAAATCAATAATTTATATACTCTTTATACTTACGGCAACTTATCAATGGTTGCCGATCCCTATCCACGTGTGGCTCTTGCTTTGGATCAAATTAGGTTTTTATATGAAGTGTTACAAAGTGAAAACTCCGGAAGATTAACCCGCATTCATGTCCACACATTAGCCTTTCAGGCGATACTCACTAAGAAAGGCTCGGATTGGAAGGAACTGATGGCCAGCAGTGCAAAGGCAGCACTCACTGCACACAGACATACCGTTTGATTAATTTAATACAAGTTTAAACAGATATTAAACTCATTTTCTTATTTTATTTTAGTGCGGTTCTGAAGTGATTGATATAAATAAAGCAAAACTAATAATGGATGAATCATTTTCCACTACCCGTTCCGATAAAAATAAAAGACGGATTGGTTTTAACGTTCAAAAACCTGTTAATTGTTGGGATGAGAAGATATTTCACAATAGGGACGGTTTCCACGAAGTTTCCATATGTGTGGCACCGGTACTCGTATGCACTAAAGTACTTCAAACCGGTGGCGGAGGCGATAACGTGAGCGCCGCCGGGATTGTACTTCAAGTCTAAATGCTTCAAATCTATTTCATATCAGACACCAAACACTTTGTGTTTTAATTTAATATATATTTTTTATTTTTTTAGATTTAATATTCTTTTTAAAAAAATGTTTTATCTCTTTTTTAAATTTAAAATTTATTTTTTTGGTACTTATAATTTAAATTCCAATTTTGTATAATGTTAACAATTTTTAAAATTATTTATTAATTTAAATACAATACTTGTTATCTAGTCTTTTATAATTATTGTACAATAATTTTTAAAAAAATATTTTAACTGAGCTTTGGATTAAATTCGTTGATTTACAGTAATTATAGATTTTTGTTAAAATTTAAAAAAACGAATAATTTATTTACTGTAATTATTTTTAAGTTAGACATTCTAAACTAATAACTATAATAATGTCAATTTTTAAAAATTTTTATATTGTATATTAATTAATTGAAGAATTTATAAATATAATGTCATATGTTTTGAATAATTTATTTACAATTATTATACAATTATTATAGTTTATATTAATATTTTATTTATCAAACAAAGTGATATCAAATCAATCATTAATCACTGAGGGAATTGATTTTTTATGGTTCGGTAATACTTGTATACAAATAACAATTTTTCCTCATTATTAGGTTCACATCAATTGTTTACAGTTTTATAAAGTAAAGCAATGTTGAAATAAATCTTTAAATCAATGATAATGTAATCTCAGTTTTTACAAATAATTTATAATATATACCGTATAGACCCGCATATAGCCCCCCCTGACGGGTTTTTAAAATTTTAAAATCAACATTTGGTAGGGGGCTATTTTTCACATATAGCCCCCCTACTGGGGCTATATGTGAAGTCGTGGGGGAAGGAACGAATGGGGAAGGGTTATATATAAAATCGGTCTAATAAATAAAAAAATATATAATGATCTGTAATAAGCTATGATTGTTATACGGATTATGTATTTAAGTAACAAAGCATTTAAATACAGTATAATAGCATTGAATTGAAAAATTATTTAAAAAACTTAAAATTTACAGTTTATTTTAATTAATAGTTTTAGTTTAGACTTTACTCTGACCGGTCAATAGATGGCATGGGGGGTATATACACATTCAAAAAAACTACAATATTTTCAATAGTGGGGCTATTTGTGATTTCATAAATCAACTTGGTGGGGGGCTATTTTTCATATTATATACGGGTTTATACGGTAGTATATATTATATACAGTAGTATTTTTAAATATTTTAAAACTATTAATAATATTCATTTATTTGATTTATAGTAGTGTAATGTAAATTTACTTTGAATTTTTATATTATAAACAATTAGAAAATTTGTTATGTTATACTAAAATAATAATTATAACCAAATTTATTAAATAATTTAAGTAATAATTATAATTAGCTAAAGATTTTACGAATAAACAAATGAGTCAATCATTTTCTTCGCCTAATTTTTTGGACACAATAGCCAATGGACCGACAGTTCCTGTATTAAAATCATCTGTCGTTGTCTTAGATGGTAACAAAATGGCAGGACTTCGGTAACAACGACTTCTTTGTGCGCTTTCGTATAACTCCTTCTGAAGTATAGCGAGTGAAACCTTATTAGTTTTGATTACATCTTTCATACAAATCATTTCATTTGAATTTCTTCTTTCACTGTCTGAATCATAGGTAGAGTCGACGTCACTCGAGTCGGCGGCGACACTGACCTTAACTGTCTTGTGSCCCGAATGAGCATAACTTCGTAAGTGATTTGGTGTCAAAGCATTGCGTCGGCTTCGGGCCACTTGAGTTAATACCGGCGCCTTATGTTTGCGCCAACATTTGCATCTAAAGTTGAGTTTTTTGATGAGAAGATTTAAAAATTGTTTGATCACTATTGAAGTAACGTTAAACAAACTGTATATACAACAACATCCCAGTGCTATAAATACAAAATTGACGATTCGGTAAATATAAGAATTGCATGGATCGAGTCCCGAGTTCTTCTGACTGGTCACTAAATCGCCGAATCCAATGGTCGAAAAGGCAACAAAACAAAAGTATATACAATCAAAATAACTCCATTTCTCGACCACAGAATAGACAGCCGACGCACTGACCGCTATGAGGACAGTAAATGTGGCCAATACTAACATTACCCAATACACCGATGGTTTCCAATTCATATCCAACCGATCATCAACTGAAACACAAGATTCTCGTCTATTATTATATAGTGAATCACGTCTTTGATTATCTCTTTTAATTTTTCTTTCGTGATATCGTCTCATAATATATGCTAATAATGTTATTATTCTCTCCAAAAATAAATTAAAGAACAGTATTCCTCCGGAACAACCTATCAGTACAAAGACATACAGAATTTAATTTATTTAATATAATTGCAAAGATATAATCGTATAATAGTTAACACACACACACACACACACACACACACACACACACACACACACACACATACATACATACACATACATACATACATACATACATACATACATACATACATACATACATACATACATACATACATACATACATACATACATACATACATACATACATACATACATACATACATACATACATACATACATACATACATACATACATACATACATACATACATACATACATACATACATACATACATACATACATACATACATACATACATACATACATACATACATACAATAAAAAATACATACATACACACACACACACACACACAAACACATATTTATATAATATATTCTTAGAATAATATCAACTAAATTGCTAATTGCTTTATGGCATAAAATGTTTTATAAATCATTTTTTTATAATTAATTCTAATTTATTACTTACTCACAAATTGTTTAAGTACATAATATACATTTGTAAATAAAACGTTAGTTAATTGATTAATTAATTTACTTTAAAATAATGCTTTTAAAATGTCTCATTAAATTAAATGTATAAAAATTATAGATCTTTTAAATATTATTTGGCAAACAATTTTTTACCTAAAAAGCCATATATAATAACAATCATTCGGCCGGATATGGATTTAGGTGTTGTCATACCAAAGCCTACAATAAAGAGAAAAATGAAATAATTTAATTAAATTACTTAAATAAACTTAGATTTTATACTATAGATTAATTTATTAAAAATTTTAATAAACAATAAATATTTTATTTAATATAAACTAACATAAAAAGAAAATATAATGCTATACATAGTATTACATACACACAAACGCTCTAAATATTTAATTAMTATAAATTTATTTAAGATTATTATTTGTAAAATTCATATTTAAAATTCTGTTAAATAGTCTGTTTATACTTTATTACTCAAAATTGTCGGAATCTGAATATATTTTATGTTTAAACTTTAGATTGTTTTAAACTTAAAGATTAAATTGTCCAATGAGTGTATTAAGCATATTTCAAATGTAGAAAATAGTTATAAAATAAATCTTTTAAATATTCAAATTAAAAGTTGATTTATATTTTTAATTTAACGCTGAATTTAGAAATACATTTAATGCAAAAACTATAGAAAACCAAAAGATTTTATGAAATATTAAATACATTAAAGTTTATGACATTTATCATACATTTTGTAAATTTGTAAACATTTTCGAATAAATATCTATTTCTATAATATATTCTATAATATAGAATCTATATATATATATATATAAACTTTATTCAAATATGTGACGAAAAAAGTTTAGATTTATATTTCTATAATAATAATCATTTCAATATAAATATCTATTAAAATATGTATATTTCAGCACAAAATTTGTCGACTACGACATGAGCTGACCATTAAAATTGAAAAATACTAAATATATAGTCGTATTAACAAATAAAGTGTTTGAAAGMAACAAAACAATGGCCTTATATTCTATGAAGTTATAAATAATTTTGTTCGCGTAGTTTAATACAAAATAATATCACCGATAAAATCCAAAATCATAAATTCAATTTAGTAATCGTGATATAAATAAGTGAAATATCTAATAATAATTGCAATTATTTCTTTTATAACTATTTTTTTATCTACTTTACACTTTTTTCTAATAATTTTATAGCTTACCAAAAATGGATTAATTTAATTTTATGTAAAACTTTTATAATAATAATAATTAATATACTAATAAGTAAAAATAATTATTATTTAAAATTAAGTAATTTGGCAAAAACTAAAAATTTATAAAAAACTATCAAATTATTATACAGTGAAAAGTGTTTTGTAAATATTAAATTTCTAATAACTATAAAAATGTGTTTAAAATAAATATTTATAAAAGAATTAGATTACAGTAAATATCAGTGTTGGCAGAGACATAATGTTTGTATAAAACAAAGCGTATTATACAATATAATACAATGTATAATACATAACCAATTTTGCATATAAACAAAATTTAGCGCCATGTAGTGTCAAAAGCATTGATATAAGCAATGTTTTATAATAAATATAGATTTAATATTAATTTTTTACTAAATTTCTATTCTTTATTTTAAATTATTTTATTTTTACTATTTAAAAACAACAATATTATAGCAATTATGCATTTTATAACAATTATATTTTTAATAAATTTGTCATTTTATTATATATTAGATTTAAAAATTATATAATACAAGCAGTACATTGTATTACTACTGTATATACTGTATTATACAAAGTCAAAATTCAAAATCATGCATTTTTCCAACTCTGGTAAATATAATTATATTAAACATTTTTTATTATGATATCTACAAAAAGAGTCAAATATGGTATTATGTATTTGATGACACTATTATCGCATCTGAAATAATTTTTCAAATAATATTATATAACGTTTAAATTGTGAGAAATATCCGATACAACCCTTAATTACATACAATTTATATTCATTTTCTTCAAAACTAACGACAGTCACTAAACTGTAGTTTTTTTTATAGAGATTTATGAAATTTTGAGGATAACTATAACTTATAGTCCATAAGCTAAAGAAACAACAAAAATAAAGACGTGATGCCAGTCATCGATGGTTTTTGTGCTATTTATTCATATCCAGAGAGCATTAGCCATATATTGGTCCAACAAAAAGTTGTATAGTATATTGAACCGTATGTTTTGTATAACTTTCCTTTATGTATAATATACATTGTATATCCCCAGTGTTTCTTAACTAATAAATAATATGTTTCTCTCATTTCTAAAATGATTTAAAATATTTTGTTTTTGCATTAAAAATCAATATAAATTTCATTTACATTCATTTGTATGAAATCATTCATTCATTCATATAATAATATATGAAATCTTTATTCTTCAATAATCATATTATTTATTTATATTTATTTTTTAAAATTCATTTTTCTTAATTTTTATTTGATATTAACGATTCAAATAAAGCTATAATTTTGTCTAATTTTCATAACAAGTGTATATCACTGAATAAATTGCCACAAATATGATATAATTACAATAAAGATATTACTATTCAATATTATATTTATATTTTTTTAATAAAGTAAAAAATATAAATAAATTAAATTGCTTTTACATGCAATAATCAAATTAACTTATACTAAATATAATGCTTAAAGAATAGAATTTTATTATTAATAAAATTTCTAAAAGTTTCTAATATAATATTCTCAAATTCTATATAAATATTTAAAGCAAAATAATACTGTATTAGATTTCATTTTATTTAAGCAATCAATATATAATATAAGATTTAATCCATAGTTTAAAGTTTTTTTTATTTTTAAGAATAATAAAAAAATTCTGGAAATTTTCTTGTATTTTTTAAATTTCAATAAACCTAAAASTTCTCATAATAAAATCCCATTAATTAAATAATAATATTWTCACATAAATATTTTAAACGCATAATCAGTATATAATTTAATTTTAAGCACTTTTCTCATAAATTATTTAACATTAATTGCTCACTTTATGTGAATATATCTATTAATAAAAAATGATAAAATCAACATTACTTAATTATCATTATTATTAGTAAATTTGTATAAATTATTGTTAAAATCAAAATTATTTAATATAATGATAAATTTAATTGAATAAATTTAAATCATTAATTTAAAAAACAATACAATATATTTGTATTTATGCTATACTTAAAATCATAGATAATTAAACTATTAAATAATCATTCATAAGTAATTTTATAAGAATTATTTCATAAAATTTATTAATATTTTATGATTTAATTAGCTTTTAAATTAAACTATTTTTAAAAATATTGTAAATCAAATGATAGAGATTAAGAAAGTTTTAGAGTTTAAGGATTAATACTTTTTACAGTTTGTTCTACTTTTAAAGCATTTAATTGTTTAAATAATTAGTAAATTTATTTATAATCAATCTTTCAAATTAACAAAAATTTTCAAATTACTAAATATTTTGATAATCAAAATAATTTATATAATAAGTCAAACAATTTAATTTTGAGTTATATAATATACTACGATATTGTAMTTTATATAMCTTATGTTGATTTGATATATTGCTTATATGGTATAGTACTGTATAGTATAGTACTGTGCAATACATAATTGAATAACATTTAGTCAATTTGCTAATCTATTGTATGTTTTAATTATATAATCTGATACTGAATTTAATTTTAGTTTAAACAAACAAATGATTTAATTCCTATATTATGTAAATAAGTGTTGTTTTAACAACAAAAACTAATTATTCATTCAACAAATTATTTATATTTACGACATTATATAAATAATCCTTATGTCAAATACCCTATAATACATGTAGTAATAACAATAGCAATGACAACATAATAAGCCTATTGTGTCATTAAAAGAGATAAATTATGATTATTAGTAAATATTTCACAAATTTAAATGAAATAGCAATAAAACTAAAACTACAAAATATAAAATACATTTAAATAATCTTCATTTAAATATTTACTACAAATATCTTAGCAATTAATTACTAGAAAATTTGAATTAAAAAATATGTTGCTTTAAATTAAAAAATACATTTAAACAAAAATTTACAGTTATATAATAGTAATAGAAAATGTGATATTTAAAAATGTTAAAATATTAAACAATTATTAAACAGTAATATATCATAGCATAAAATTTAAATTAAAAAATTTTAGTTAAGTATTTTACATTATTTTATATTAAATATAATGTATAAATCAAACAATAATAAGTGTAAATAATATTTATTAAAAAATTTGTCACAAAGTAAACACTTTTTAAAAGCTTTAGTTTTCAAAAGTGTCTTTAAATTTATATTTAATATAATGAAAATTCTTTGTTTTTAATGTCGTTAATAAATTTTATTTTTAAAAGCAAATTTAAATTAGAGAATAATTTAATATGTTGTGTATTATTATTAATAATTTTTATATGAATTATTTTATTATTTCAAAATAAACTTTTATTTACCTTAAAAAATATTTTACTATACTTTACTTTAGGTTAATATTGTAGAACTTATTGTAAGTATTGTAAGAGTGTTATAAAAAATATTACTTATATATATATATATATATATATATATACTAGAAAAAAATACGTATATATAACTTGATATCACTTATCATGGAAAATTATACAAATTTTATGTCAAAAAACATTTTCAAAAAATTTTGAGAACTAAATTATATGATATAATAATAATAAGCCATATAAAGTTAAATCCATATAAATTTACAGGAGATGTTGTATTTATTTAGATATTAAAAACATGATTTAAAGTAATCAATAGCATTAAAAAAATTAAATTATCAGAAGATTCTATATATATGTAACAATCACTATAATAATGTCATTAAGTTTAAGGAATTTATAATATAGTTAAATTAATTTCCACTTATTATACAATCAATACAATAATAAATTTTATTTGTTTTATTAAAATCTTTTATTCACTAAAAATAAAAAAGATTTGTTTTAATACAAATCTTTTAGTTCAACCAAACTATTCAGTTTACAAGTAGTCATCCAATTGATTGGTTTCTATCAATCACTATAATCAGAAAAATTTTTAAATATTATTTTTTCATTGAAATTTCTTAGAAATTTATGCATAAAATTTTTTGAAAATATTTATTCAACACATTGTCAATTCAATGTTAACATTGCATATCAAAAATTCAACATTTGATATTTGTTTTTAACTATTTATGTAAAATACCCATTATTTTCTATAGTTAGATCACGGAATTAATTTTAAAGATTATTTCTAAAAATCAATAAAAAAATATTAATATATCACTCTAATTATCATAATTATTCTATATCTTATTTTATTTATTAATAAAAAAATATTGCCTAACATACTAAACAATATATATTTTTATAATTTTTTATATATTATAATATAAATATATATAATTAGATAAAAAATGTCAAAATCTTTTCCCATAATTTGCTCTATAATTGTAGTTTTAGTTCACTTATAGCAACAAAAGAAAATCATTTGACTTTTATTTTTTCAATTAWTGAAAGAATATTTAGAAAAGAAAAATGAGTAAAACTCTCGACTAATGAATAATCAATATTTAATATTTAATGCAATCATAAATAATAAAAATATTAATATTGTTAATATTATTATTATTATTAATACCACATTTCATGACATCGTTATAAACATAATGTTACAACACTTGATGTTTACTTAAACCATATATTTTCTCTATTGATTACAGTAATATTTTTTGTTAAATAATAATAATAATAACAAAATGCTTTTTGTGTGTCACAAAACATAAATTTATTATTAAAAATAATAATAAATTATTCACATGTAATACTAATGATAATAATAAGGTATATAAAGTATAAATATAATAATTTATTTTATATACAGTTTTATATGTAATATAATTAATATAATGACATACCTATTGTTGAGACGACAGTTGCGACAAAGTAGAATGACCCAGGTAGGTCCCACCTATCGGTGCCACTAATCACACCATTGGCAGTTGCATTGCCGTATTCATACAACAGTTCAATTAAATCGGTTTCATTTATAATATTCAGATATTTTTGACGAAACTTTTTCAAACAATTCAAATACTTTTGTCGGGCCCTCTCTTCGGCTTCTTTTTCCAATAGATGAAAGAGTAGAGCGCCAAACATCATGTATCCGATGAGTACCAGTGCTAATAACAAGAACCTGGAGTTATCTTCATTTAGATGCAATACATTGCAACACCCGTTACGGCCACGTCTGGCCATTAGTTTAATAAACAATACACCAAAAACTTGTGTTTCAAACTAAATGACAAACACTTGTGAATTTAAATTACATACAAATCATATACAGTAAACAATTAGCGCTAAAAACACTCAAAATAGTTGTGTATTGTTTCAAGTTTTGTGTGTTAAGTAACTATTGTTAGCACTGATAAATGATGACTAAGTAGAGACTGGAGATAACTGTTATTTCAAGGAAACACTGATATGAAAGGAGATACAAAAAAATTATATGATGTAATTCAGTTAATATTCACAYTGTAATTATATATATATATATATATATATATATATATATTAAGAGTTTGCAATAATATTTTTAATATCAATAAATTAAAATTATCCAATATTTTATCTTAAAAATAGGCTAATATTGTAAATGATATATAATAGTGAATTTCTTACTTTTTTGTCACTTTTATTATTAATGAAAGAAAACAATATAACGTCAAAACACAATGAATTACTTAATCAAAGAATAATTTTTTGTTAATTTTTTCAGTTTCGTGTCATTTTAATAGAGAATTGATTTTTTTATAGCTAAGAGAGAAAATTCTGTATAAATATTATAAAACTATTTGACAAAAAAGCTTTACATTACAAAAGTTATAACATTTAGTTTCACACATTAAAAGATAATTTATTGTATTGTTGTTAACATTTATATCGTTTTCTCTCAGTTTTTTCTCGTTGTCTTTCTCTATATTCATGACTTATTTAACATGTATTTAATATAAAAAAATATAGAAATAACTGTTAAATAAAGAATTTTTTACAAAACTATACGTCATTTTCAACTGTCATTCCCGGACCCGACAGGCCTTTACAATAGAATAGTCACTCATATAGTTATTCAGTGGAAATTATATCATAGATATCAAGAATATTCTTTATATATATATGATTTTGGCACAACTTTTGTTGGCTATTATAGCGCCGACACATTGATGCCAATGGTTTGCTGTTCACACATTGCTTTACAAGTAGTACGGTATACACTGTACTGTATAATACACACTGAGTTGTCTGTGTTGGGAGCGCCTACTGTACGAAGATTTGTTTGAACACAAATGTAATGTGAAATAATAGTATTATACATTACATAACGGTTCGCAAAATTCTTTATGTGTTAACTTAAGAGGAATATGTGCTATAAAATCGATAAAATTGACTTAATATGTATTGTTGTGTATAAGGGATTCATATGAAATAATTGAAAGGTTTTTAGGAGAAAGGGATGGAAAGGCTGACAAAATAGTGGACCACATAGAGTATGATTATGACCCATACGTTACACTAATATGTTATAGATTTGTGTAAAATAAAGTGTTTTACACTTTTATATACATTATGATATCAAACCAAATAACATAAAACACAACTTATGTTCATTGAACTGAAATGAACACAAACTAAGCCGACAAACAATAAACAAAAAACAAAACAAAATTCAGTTGTCATTAGCTTTAACCACAGTTCTAGTAATAATGTATTGACTTTTAGTTGAGAGAGAGAGAGAGAGAGAGAGAGAGAGAGAGTACTGGTCATCAAGTTTTATAACAGAGCTATAAATCAAAATAAGAGGACATTAATTGCTTCAATGATCAATGAATTAATGATATTACATAATAGTGTGCATAACTTTATTTTATAGAGTAATGTATTATTAAATGCAATCTCTCAAAGTTTTGATCATCACTTATTATATTTAAAGTGCAAATATGATATATTATATATTATCTAATAGTTAATATAAGCCTATAAACTACTGTACAGTATATTATTTGTTTAATTAGTATTATAAATATTTGATTTTTTCAGTAAATAATAACTATAATATCAAATTTAAAATACAGTAAATTTTACATTATTATGTGTTATAAATTTATAAATATTTTTATATTTACATATTTTACACTTATAAATATTTAATGAAATACTAGACAAATAATTGCATAAACAAACATGTTTTATAATAAAAAACAATTTTTAAATCTTTTAAAATAAATTATTAAAACACCAATTTTATCATAACGTTTTAATGTTATATATATATATTAAAATGTCAAATTAACATTTTAATATAAATATTATAAATAATTGTTATGCAGTAAAAATATATCTTAACAATACAAAAGTATTTACTTAATTAAGTTTTCATTGTTTAATAACTTATTATATTTTCTGATAATAGATTTGTGGAATAATATTAATCAATTGTAACAATTGTGGTCATATAGTCAACTAAATCTTGATATTACTTAATAATGTAACCAATAGTTTCATACATTTCTCAAAATTATTTTCAATTTGCCTATTGATGTCTTTTTAAAAATAAATATTGCAACGTTTCAATCACTTACAAACAGARATGGGCAAATAGAAAGTTTCTAATAAATTTCTGTGAGAAAGTTTCTAGAAAATTTCTCATGAATAAATTTCTATAGAAATTTAACTTTACTGTTAGACTATGGGATCCCCATATTTAAAGCTATTGTAATAATGTACTAGAGTATATTAATGAGACATATAATATTATACTATAAAGTAGACTACTAAATAGGATACATATATAAAATAATTATAATTATTTAATAATAATCAATTTTGTAAAATTTGACTCATCATTTTATTATATATATATATCATAGTTTAATATAATTAAATTAATTAATTATTTACTTTAACTAATAATTAAAATACTATTAATAATTTTTAATTATTTCTTGTAAAAACAATGTATTGTTACACAAGATAACAGATATCGAGAAAAACAAAATTAAAATGGGGATCCCATAGATAGAAATTTCTTTTAGAAACTTTCTAGAAATTTCTCTATTATTTTATAAATTTCTCTTTTTTGCCAACACTACTTACAAAATAATTAATTAAATGTCTAACAATTTGAAATTGACTGTAAATATTAATATTATATAATTAAAATACAATTATATTTAATTACTAGTAATATTTGAAATACAGTTAAATGTTTTATTTTTCTATTGATAATATCAATTTGATATCTTCGATATACAAAATAAAATAAAATACTTTACAATTTAATACTATAATTAGAGTTCGATAACATTCATAGAGAGGGAAGTTCCTTAAAAAATACCTCCAATTTTCGATAAAAATATGATAAATATTTTATTTTCTCTCCCTTGATCGTTAAAAAGGGAAAATATATTTTATATTATTACGATAAATAGTACCGAAATTTAAATATTTTGCAAACAATGATAGCACAAAAATATAGATCCCATAGGAATTAGCAGAGAGTAGGGAACATAAGCAACATTTGGATAATAAAAAAGAGGAATTGAATCTTATCTAACCTTAAGTATAATATACAAGTATTTTTAAATGAATAAATTGTTTCAATTAAAAGAACTTTATTTTCACTTATGAAATAAAATATATTTAAAACACGAGTTTTGACTTATCCAGTGAATAACAATTTAGATTCAGAAAAATAACAATATTTTAAGAAACATTTTATTAAAAATAAAATAACAATAAATAATAATAAAATATTAAAACTAATGAGGAATCCAACTATTTCCGTGAGTATCAGGTAATTCTGTGTGTGGAGTATCCCAAGTCCACGGCTTATCTATTTATTCAATCAAAACATAACTCGTATTATTAGTAAATAAATTCAATTTTGAGAAAATAAATAAATAAATAAAAATAAATACCATTTGGTCTATATTTAGTTAAAGGGATGTCATAAGGCATAGGAAAAGAGGAAGTGTTTGACATAACTATTGATTCATCAGTTTTAGTCAAATCAAAACATTCTTGATTTCCCTGAAATTTCATAAATATTTTCTCATAAATATATAAACAATTATATATTTTTTAAACTTACAAATAATTTTGGTATAAAAAGGACACCGATTTCATAGGATTTTATAGCTAATTGAGTGCCATTTTTCTCGAGCTGACCCCACGCAGCCTTAGATAAGTTGGCGGATGTCAGAACAAAGTAAGCCATTTGCTTATAATCACTGGAAACACGAGTATATGTCTTAATGTGTGGACAGACACGCGTACGACCTCTTATATCACTTCTCCATAAATGCAAAAATGATGTCAAATATGTTTGCTTTTGATGTGTTTGTGAACTAAATTTAAATATTATGAAAATACATAATTAAAAACTTTTGTTAAGCCTATTATACAACTGGTATATTCAGAGCACACCTGTATGGTAATGATCCGCCACCGCTATAACCTTCTATGGATATCCTCACGTCTTCAACAGATGGGAATATAATCTTAAGATGTGGTTTAGTTATATCTGATTTAATACCAGTAACTGTCGATAAACTAATTAAAAATTCATTGGTTAGCCATTTGTCTGATGTCGGACCTAATGATCCAATACTGGAGAACTGTGCTATTGTGGGCCAACTAGAGTTCACAGTTTTAGCTGAAGGACCCATTTGAGAGAGATGTTGTCTCAACTTCATGTGTCCAAATCTAAACTTGTCTTCACCTATATGTCGTCCAGGAGTTGATCCAATTATAAACACTTTAGCAGATGAAAGATCGTGTCTTTTAATTGTTTGTATCCAGTAATTAATTTCTTTAGAGTTATAACACTTTAGATAATCGATTAAATCAGTCTTGAATCGGGTCTGAGAGATGTCTGCATCTGATGCTTGAATCGAAGGAATTGGAGGAAAGAGAGGGCTAACCCAAACTCCTTGTGTTTTATTAGTCCAATCGTTTTCAATAAGATTTGCCGTATGAATGACAACACGCAAACCCTTGTCATACCTCAAGAACATCATCTTTGAGTGATGAGTGCCAAACATGTCAACCAATTGGGCGCCAAATAGACGCACATTTGGATGGTCTTTGATTTGGTTTTGCATCTCTTTGTCAGCAAACCCATCCCTTTTGGAGCCATAAACAAGAAGTATTGGAAGCGATCGGAACTGTTGTGGGTATTGATGTAAAAGCCAATTGACATCAAACATAAAATTAAAATGAACGGACTCTAAGAGTTTGCCATTTCTTTCGTTTAAAATATTTTTCAAATCAATAGCTTTAGCAATGAATTCATTATATTTGTTGTCAATTGCGGACACTTTTGTCAAATAAAAACCCAAAATATTTGAATCAATTGTTTCATTGATTGGACTCTCGTGTGAACTCTTCAGTCGTTTACTGGGATGTGATGTCATTGAAGTGCAAGAAGAAGACGACGATAAAGACTGATTGTCTGTCGATGTGGTCATAGTTTGTGTGTCCCGATTGTTACCGTTGTCTTTATCATTGGCCAGTCTTGAGCGCCAATCAAATGGATGATCAAACTCTTGGAAATGAATAGGATTTTTGCGGTAACATTGATCACCATATTTACACATTTGCTTCAATGACATTGTGTCCACTTATGTCTTGATGACAGATGTATCCAATGATTGACAAACCATATGATAATAACAATACAAATGACAACAAAAAATTCAAAATATGTTCAAAACTTATATATTGTCACAAATTATGTCATAAATTGTTTTTTATAATAATTTTTAAATACCTGTATATTTTAAATTGATTTTCCGTTTTATTAAATTTAATAGTTTAGTATAATTATGACACTTATATATTGTATGTATAAATTATTATGCATTTTAAAGCACTATAAATTGATGCCAATATAATAATTAAATAAAATAACAATTTATATTAATCAAGTAATGTAAACAGGCACTTTTTATTATATTTTTTTAAATATATTAATTTTTCAAACATATAAATGAGATTTTAAAAATAATTTATATCATATATAAGAAAAATGAGATTTTAAAATATTAAAGTTAATAATTTGTATAATAGAAATTACAGGTTTAAAAATTAAATTAACCCGTGTTTAACAAAAATAGCTAACATAAAAATAAAACAATCAAAATATATAATTGAAGTTTAGATACAAACAAAAGGCTAATCAATTACAGTAATATATATCTCAAATATTTAATTTCGATAAAATTATTTCAATTATAAAAAAATCAACAACAAAAATATTAATTATATATTTCATAATCACTAATCATCAAAAGCTAATYTGTGAAAACAAATTAATATTCATGTCAATCAAAATAATGTGATAATGGCTTCTCGTTTAGGACCGACACCAACCCATTTAACTGCACAATAAAAAACAAATTATAAAATCAAATAAAAATTATAGAAATATATTATTTAAAAAAATACATTACCGGGCACTTCAACTAATTTCTCAACAGTCCGCACATATTGTTGTGCATTGTTAGGCAAATCACCAAATTTACGGACTTTACTAATACTTGTTTGCCAGCCTTCAAGAGTAATATACTTGACATCAACTTTCGCCAAATCAGTTGAATTGGCTATAAATTATAAAAACAAAATAGAAATTATTAAATACTATGTATCGATAATTTGTATGAATAACATACAGGGAGGTGAATGTGTGTACTCTTTGCCATTCAATGAATAACTGACTGCTATTTTGATTTCCTTAAATTCATCCAAAATATCTAATTTGGTTATCGCCAGTCTAAATAAAAAATAATAAAATAAACAAAATTAAAAACATAATTTGAAAACAAAAATAACACATACGCTGAATAGCCATTAATCATATGTGAATAGCGAAGTAGTACCATATCTAACCAACCGCACCGTCGCTTGCGTTTAGTTGTAACGCCAATCTCTTTGCCAGTGGTTTGCAAATAGTCTCCAATTTGATCTGTTAGTTCAGTAGGAAACGGACCATCACCTACACGAGTACAGTAAGCTTTTGTCACTCCATAAACGTTTCCAATAAAACGGGGAGGGATTCCCAGACCGGTGCAAACCCCGCCAACAGTGCAATTGGATGAAGTGACAAATGGATAGGTGCCTGAAATAAGAGATTATATATTAGACAAATTGTTTTTTAAATATCATATTAAATTTTTTAATACCAAAATCAATGTCAAGCATAGTTGCATTGGCGCCTTCAATCAGTATATTCTTACCGGCCTTCATCTGACTGTTCAAATATAACACCGTATCCGTAACGCATGGTCTTATTTCTTCAGCAACTTTCTAAACGATATACAAAACCATTATTTTTATATTATCGGTAATATTATAACTCATCTTAAATTACAAATAACTTTACCTTATATTTATTGAGTTCTGTCTCAAACACCTCTTGACTGAGGGATGGGAATTGTGACCGAAAAAATTGAGACAGAGATCGGAATCTATTAAACAAATAAAATAATAAAAAAATGTATTAAAATTCTCGTCACAAATATATTTGGAATCATTTCAATAAAAATTAATATCAATATTGAAAAAATCACTTGACTTTCAAATGCTAGATATATATCTTGGAATAAATTGAAATCTTTATAAAAAAAATCAACAAAATATATGAAAATATTTATATCACAAAATCTTTTGAAAACCGGTTTTACGGGTAGTCAGGATTCAGGACAGACAATGTGAATGTAATGTGATTAACAAATTATGCAATGAATATATCAGAAATAATAATTAATTTCTGATGTAATAATAAACTCACTTCTCTTCAAACTGAGAGAAATCTCCCATCAGGTCAGCCATTCTGATACCGATGCGACCGGCCTTTAAAGCACAGCAGAGACACAACTCTCACAGTATGTTCAACACAATCATTATATATGACAATCAAATGATACATACCTTTGTAGCATAAGTAGGACCGATACCCTTCTTAGTGGTACCGATGCTCTTCTTGCCTTTTGCCAGCTCTTGTAGACCATCAACGGTCTGATGAAAGTCAAACACTGTGTATTGAACAACATTTAGATAAATCATTTTAAAGTTAATTAAAAGAAATGGATCCATACCTAGATGTGCCCGGTCTGAGATCAACAGTCTTTCCTTCCAATTAGTCAAACCTTTCATTTCGTTTTTATGAATTTCATCAAACAATTGTGACAAATGAATAACAACACCATTGCCCACAACACCCGTGCATTTGCTGTTAATGATACCACTCGGCAACAGATGAAAATCAAATTCAATGTTGTCCACCACTACCGTATGGCCCGCGTTATTACCGCCCTATAGTTTAAGTCATTCATATTAATTAATTATAACTATAACATCACTTTAATTATAAAATTATCGATAGTTTAAACCATTTAAAAAAATAAAACTGAAAATTAATAGCAAAACAGTAAAAAAATAATGACCAGAATATGACAGAATCGTAATGACAATACTGTAATGTATTCAAAGTCAATAAGTATGTCATACCTGACACCTGCAGACAACATCTGAATCCATGGCCAAGAGGTCGACCACTTTGCCTTTGCCCTCATCACCCCATTGGGCGCCCAAAACGACCGCAGCTTTGGACCAATTGTTAGTCAAATTGTTGGTCGATATATGGTTAGTGCCATTCGTACCGTTCATATGATACGAGCAATTCTTGACGTTTTCTTGGTTTTCCATCGCTTACTGACCTAATACTACAGTATATACTGTTATTAAAGCAACAAATGGCTAAAATCCAAGATAGCAGAGGATATGGCGATACAAATAGCAAATTATTTGGTTATTATAAGCAGGAGTTACAAGTGTTGCCAAAATATCAAATGTTATAAAAACTATAACAAACACTACTCTTAATGTTTTGGAGACAAACACTGCAATAGTAGTGATGTTTGAAGCAATACTTCACAGCAAACAATAAATGCAATGCCTGTGCAAAAACTACATGTGCGCGCCATTAGCCGACACACTTAATATGCACACAGTATTACACACAGAATCACACATTTTTACATTATATCATATGATATATACCGTACAGTACTGTACACTAAATTTATTATTATTGGCTGATCTGTATTATACAGTACATACATATTGTATTTTTGCTATATATTCTGTATATTTCTATAGTGTATTTTAACTATAACTATAAGGTAATCAACTAACTTTAATTTTCAAGGATTATCCTCTAATTGTTAATCAGATAATCTCCTTGGTCATTTATTAATAATCGATAAATAGTTGTCAAACATTAATTAGCTTTATTTTTAAAAATTAAATGTAAAATTATTAGATAATAATGATAAATACATAATATTGTACAGATGTTATGTCATTTAAGACAAACTATCGACTAACAAATCATAATTGATTTACAATTGATTTGTTAGCAGAAAATTTAAATTATAAAAAATGATTTATTTTAAATTTTATTTGAATTTAATACAAACATATTATTAAAATTTCAATTTACAACATAATTATTTAAAAGAAAATTAAAATTATCTTTGATTTTCAATATATTTAATGAAAAAAATACTAAATTTGTATTTTTGAGTTGGTATACTTAATTTTAACATATAGTGAACACTGTAAATACACTTATAATTATATTAATTATATTTAATTTACAGTATTTATAACTAAATCATATTAAACAATTGTTTGGCAGTAAAATTAATATCAATATTAGGAATGTTTAACATTAATCAAATAAAAATATATTTATGTATAATGTATATGTATAGTTTATACAGTACAATATAAAACTATAATATCAATATAAATAGAAATAGAAATAATAGCCTATAATAAGCAATCTGTTGTTTTGTAGTTTATTTATAAAGTATTTCTCAATATTTCGATTAAATTTAGTTTCCGTTTATATATCAAAAACATAGTACAGTATAATATTTACAGTTCATAGTTAACTATAATATATTGTCAAAGGTTTATGAAATATTTGTTGTTGATATTAACCAAAAATATATATTTAAAATTGTGATAATGTATACAAATAATAATATTAAAAATATTATTATTATAAACTTTTAATAACATTTGTTGTTTTCTCATCATATAAATCATTGTAATAATTAACAACCGATTAAAAAAACAAGTATTGACTGCATGAATACATTTTATAKCATTAATTATTTGATTTTACATATCAAATAAAATATTCCTAAATGTAAATGTAATCAAAATAATATATATATATATATATAAAATGGACAAGGTCATTGTTAAATTTACGTAACATAATTTATAACATCAACGTAATTTAATTATATTTTAAACATCTAACTTTTTTGGACACTATTGTAAATTTATGACAACTACTCTTTAAACTATTGAAATATTATATTACTTACAGTTAGTGTTATTGGATATACTGTAGTGTTATTGGATATACTATACAATAATTTATATAATAAATTATAAACTATTTCATATGAGAACACTGTAAATGTAATTTATAATTACAAAATTCTGTACGTTTACGTATGATAATGCAAAAAATAAAATAAACTTTTCTCAAATATTAAAAACTGCTAAAATAGTTATTGAACATTAGAGAATTAATTATATTATAAAATTGTTATATATTAWAATCAGTACTTTTAAATAAATAATATATGAATATTTTTTGTATTAAATATTTATTAATATTTAACATTGAATATACAGTAAATTAATGATTAATAAAGACAAATGTAATATTTGACACTTAATAACAATGAAATCACTTTGAATTGGGTTGGGTTAGAAAATATTAATTTTTATGTTGATTTTTTCATATTTATTTTAAGCATAAAATTATTATTTGTATCGGAATTTAATATAGTTTTTAAAACAAATATAATTGTTTGAATTCTAAAATATACAAATATATTATAATACTAAATATATATATAACTTTTTGTATATCAATACTTATTATACTAATATAATAATCATCATTAAATAATAATTSTAATTTAATTATTAAATTAATGTAATTTCAATACTCAGATTTTACTAATGTATACTTAAATGAATTAAACTAAAATTAATAATACAAATATTAAAAATGTAATAATTATAATTTAAATATAAAACAATTTAAATGATTGCTGTTTTTTAAATTTCTTGATAAAAGTATATTAACGGTAGGGTTTTTTTTAAATAAATAAACATTTCATTAAAACTGTTATGAGTACTGTGGTGTTAAAAAAATAATAAATTAAAAAATCAGTTAAAATATTGTGTTTAAAGTTTAAAGTATTGTGTAGTCAACCTAAATAATTGCAATATTTAGTTAATTGATAAATCAAATCAAAATGTTTGAATTGGCTTTTGCATTGACTGATTACTGTACTATAAACTACACATAAACATAGAGTATATATCGATATTTTAATATTCAATGTTTTCAAATTAAATATTATAATTAGTAAAAGACCTGACAATCCATTATATGCTAAAAATTTTTATTAAAATTAAGTGTCCAGTATTTTTTAAGAGAAATATTTTACAAATTTTAAATAGATTTATATAGAAAATTGTTTAGTACAGTATATCTAGTATTTATTTTAATTTATTTGTAATCTATCAACTCTACTAACAAATAAATTTTTATTCAAATGCAATAATTTGCTATCAAATAATTGAAATTATTCAAAGAATATACAAATAATTATTTATAAATTTAAAGTTACTTTAATTTATTAAAATAAACGTTATTTACTGTAATTATAATAATATTTTATGAAATATTTAGAGTATGTTATGCATAGGTTTATGCAATACTAACGACTTGTAAGTTATGTTTATGTTATTAAAGGCATAATAAATAACAAATACATTAACCACTCAATGAATGGACAGTTATCTCACTGTTTATTAGCGATGACTTTGATATAACAAACAGTGGTTTGTATTGATATTATCACTGAAAATGAGTTCAATTATATCACACATTATATTATCACAAAATTCAATGCTTTTTGATTTGTTTAAACAGACTTTAAACACAAGTAATGGCTTTATTTGGTCACAAACGATGTCATGATTATCTTGTGGATCACATCCGGCATTAAATGATCTCAATTGATCTCACATGTGGTGATGCAATAGATTTTTTTTGGTGAAGACATGTCTCAAGCGAATGGCAATAATGACCGTACATTTGGCGGTGAAACAGATTGTGATAAATATATACTTGTTGTTGATGTCGGAACCACTAATATACGGTAATCAAGTGGTATATCTTATGATTACTTATAATGATTACATTTGATGGGTCATTGTTTGTACCGTTTAGTGGCCACATATACGATCAAAGAGCTCGTCTTATTGGGGAAGCCGTGACATCGGTTCAATTAATACACCCGCATCTCGGCTATGAAGAGATTAGCGCACAGACTATTTGGGATGCATTTCTTGATGTTATTAAACGGGCCATCGATTGTATGATAAATAAATAAATAAATTTTTTAAATACTTATTGTTAATAATATTATTGAATATCTTTAGCGGCAAAGATAAGTGTACACCAAGTTTTATGCATTGGTATCTCAACAATGAGGGGTACATTCATAACATGGGATAAGGAAACGGGCGAACCCTTCCATAATTTTATCACTTGGAAAGACATCCGAAGTAATCAATTATGTGATCAATGGAATGAATCGCTGAGAATGAAGTGCCTTAAGATGGGAGCAAAGTTTATCCATTTCTTTACCCGATCGAGTCGTTTTCTGGCCGCATCACTGTTGAAGTTTACAACCGGAATGGTTGTCATGAGATTGGTATGGGTTTTGCATAACATTCCTGAAGTTAGACATCAGGCCATTGAGGGCAAAGCTCTTTACGGAACTATCGACACATACCTCATATGGAAGTTGACATCTGGCAAAGTTCACGCCACTGATCCATCAAACGCTTGTGTCACAGGTTTTTATGACCCATTTCTCATGAAATGGGGTGATTGGGCTCTCAATATGTTGAATATTCCGCCGTCGATGTTACCACTTGTCAAAGATACAAATGGTGATTATGGTCGCACAAACTCACAATTGTTTGGCGCTTCCATTCCGATTCGTGCAATAGTTGGTGACCAACAGGCAGCCATGTTTGGCGAGTGTTGCTTCAGAGAAGGTGATTTCAAATGCACGTTAGGCACCGGGACTTTCATTAATATAAATACCGGTGAAAAGCCGTGTGCGTCATATAAAGGGTAATTCAATTCAATTTTTTATAACGATTGCAAACATTACTKTAACAATCGTATTAATACATCAAACATTTATAGACTTTATCCAATTGTTGGCTGGAAACTGAAAAATGAAGAAAAGCCTATTTATCTTATGGAGGGCGCCTCCTATGATACCGGTACGGCTATTAAATGGGCACACAATATTGGATTATTTGATGATCTTAAAAAGACCAGCGATATGGCTAAAAATGTTTCCAATGATGATCTTTATTTTGTTCCGGCATTTTCTGGACTTCAGGCGCCAATCAATGATAACTTTGCCACTTCTGCTTTTATTGGAATTAACTCAACGTTTGTAATATTTATTAATCGTTTTGATTATTTGATATCAATTTTTATTTGAAATGTTTTTTTAGTACATCAAAAGCACAAATGATAAGAAGTATATTAGAATCGCTTTGTTTTCGTGTCAAACAAATGTATGAAATAGTTTTGGAAGAACAGCCAGACTTATTGGTGAAACAATTTCGGTGAAATGAATTTAATTTAATTTGAATGTCATTTAATTGATATCTAATATTATTATTAATTATTTGTTTAGTATTGATGGCGGTGTATCTGCAAATGATTTTGTAGTCCAAATGATCGCTGACTTGACCGGCAAAAAGGTTGAACGAGCCGTTCATCAAGAGATGTCCTCATTAGGAGCTGCATTTCTTGCGGGTCTTGCTGTTGGCTATTGGACCAGCTCTAAGCACATATCAAGCCTCAGGGGATCCGATAAAGTTTTTATACCGCAGAGGAATACTTGGAATAATAGTAATCGCAATAAATTTGAGTCATGGGAACGGGCTATTAATAGATGTCTTAATTGGCATCAATAATTATGTTATTGTTATTCAGGTTGATATTAATTTTATTGTTTGTATAAAAAAATTATTTTTATTAAATTTTATTGTTATACTACTATATACTACTGTATCTAATATTAAATTTTTAGAATTTTTATAATATATTATTTATCATTTGTCATATCATTGTTATTAATTGGATAATCATTTAACTATTAAAGTTATTCATAGCATAATTGGATTAAACAAATTATATTTTAAAAACTTAATAAATGTCATAAAATATTAGTAATTAATATAAATATTAACAAATATTATACTGTATTACAGTATTTGTACTAAAAGTATACGAAATTTATGAAAGCAATGGAAACTGTATTTACATTTCAAACATTTATTTAAAGTATTTTGACATTTGTTTTATCGGCAATTTATGTCCAAAAGATTAACTGATTTGCGGTCACTATTTGCCGAATAAGACACACCGAAATTACTGGCCAACAATGGACGGGTCGTCTACTGATACGTTTCAAGAGATTCAAGAACTGAGAAGAAAACAAAATTCATTGAGAGAGCGAATGCAGAGGAGGAAGAAAGTGAGAGAAGATATATTGACCGGTAGTGCCGTTTGTGGCCAAACAACACAAACCGTGACCGACAACACACCCATCACTGACACTCCGGTGATCGACAAAAGCAAATGCGAACAAATGGAGCGAAAACTGTTGCACTTCTTGTCGGACCAAACATTAAGACTTCCCATAGATTCTCATGTTTTATATACACATATTAGCAAAACTTGTGACCAAATTGATGAACAAAACTGTCATCAAATTGTCAATGATTTGTTACAGAAGTTTCTACTTCAAGATATGATTGTAATGTCAGAAAATTTAAAGACCAATATTGAGTCGACCACAGTTGGTATTGTCTACAGTATTACATCTATAGATCACATAAAATTAATGACATTTGCACAAGAAGTGAATGCAATCAATGGTTCTGAAGAATCTAAGACAACTATTGAGAGCAGCGGTGATAATAATGCGATATCAGATGAAAGGGATGCGAAACGGGTTAAAATTGATAACAAAACTGATGATAATTTGTTGGAAAGTTTGTTATCATTGCCAACAATAAGAGAGAAACAAAGCAAACAAATGGGCGAAGAAATATTGGATCTCTTGTCTCGTCCGACAGCCAAAGAGAGGTCTATTGTTGAACAGTTTCGATCAGTCGGTGGCGCTCAGGTGCAAGAGTTTTGTCAACACGGGACTAAAGAAGAATGTATGAAAGCTAACCAAACATCCAGTGCCTGTTCGCGGCTTCACTTCAAGAAAATACTTCAAAAACATACGGATGAGTCGTTAGGTGACTGTAGTTTTCTCAACACTTGTTTCCATATGGACACCTGTAAGTATGTCCATTATATGGTCGACTCTTCCACTATCAATAAGCACAAGAAATTTGATTCACAAACAACTAATGATCAGTCAAATCAGTTATTGCCATCAAATGTGTCTAAAATTGAAGGCCATTTTAATCGTGTCTTATTTCCTCCTCAATGGATCAAATGTGATCTTAGATTTTTCGATATGAATACTTTAGGTATGGTATTAGTTGCTGTAATTATATTACGGTAATACTTGTACCGGTAGATCAATTTCTGTTATATTTTGTAATATTGTTTTTAGGAAAGTTTTCAGTGGTAATGGCTGATCCTCCTTGGGATATACACATGGAATTACCGGTAATTAATTATACCATATAATTGTTTTAAGACGCGATATACATGTCTATCAATAGTATGGTACGATGTCTGACGATGAGATGAGAAACTTACAGATTCCTGCCCTACAGGATGAGGGTATAATCTTTTTATGGGTCACCGGTAGAGCTATGGAGTTAGGCAGAGAGTGTCTAAGTTTATGGGGTTACGATAGATGTGATGAAATAATATGGGTCAAGACTAACCAATTACAACGAATCATCCGAACCGGCCGTACAGGTCATTGGATCAATCACGGCAAAGAACATTGTTTGGTCGGTATAAAAGGCAATCCTCCAGATATTAACCGCGGTCTTGATTGTGATGTTATTGTGGCTGAAGTACGGGCCACAAGTCACAAACCCGATGAAATATATGGAATTATTGAGAGACTAAGTCCAGGAACGCGTAAATTAGAGCTGTTTGGTCGCCAACACAATACTCAACCAAATTGGTTGACATTAGGTAATCAAGTGGGAGACGTCCGACTCTTTGATCCGTTTCTCATCAAAAGTATGAGAGACAACTATCCAGACATTGCACAGTCTATTGTCACGGAATAACCAAATGCTTAAAATATTTAAATATTGTAAATATTTGTACACTAATACAAAATTTTCATTATTGCTATTACCGGTAAATGTTTTTAAAATTAATGTACGGGTAATATAGTAAACGTAGTTTTAAATTACTTTATTACCATAGTATACATTACGGTACTTTATATACTTGCGATTATTCAATTTTAAAGTAAAATACCGTAAATTATTATGAAAATAGTTTTACCAATAATTGATATACATTTTAATTACTTTAGTTTGTATTTAAATACAACTCCTATAGTACCGGTAAGTTTAATTGTATTATAAATAATGCATTTATTATTTGAGTAAAATATTTCGCTCATTCAAACAGTGTATATAAAATCAGTTAATTAAAAATGCCATTTAATGTTTGGCAAAATATACAGTATAAACATTTAATAATATTAGTTTTGTTAAGTTTATAAATAATTTAAGGCACCATATATTTGGTGACAAAATTATAATTAAAACCAATTTATTGGTCATCTTTATCTTTAGCGCCGTGTTTTAAGATACGTGTGAATTCCAAATAGTCAAACATACCATTCTTGTCAATCGGTGCCTCCCTATACATGTCATCGACCTGTGCCGACATAATCAATATATTATTAGCAATAAGTTGACAAATTCATCAAATAATTTAATTACATCTTCATCTGTAAATCGATCTCCAATTGTGGTTAAGAGTTCCCGTAGACGCTCCTCATGGATGACGCCGCCGTTGTCTTCATCGAAACAGTTGAACGCATTTTTGATGACCTCCTCGGGATCTGTGCCCTGAAGTCGTTCGCCAAATAGTGTTAAAAACATCGTGAAGTTAATAGGTCCGGGAGCCTCATTCATCATTCCCTCCAAATAGGCGTCTTCAGGATTCTTGCCTAACGAGGCCAACATGTCGTGCAGATCTTCTTTATCAATGAAACCGTCGCGGTTTTGGTCGATCATATTAAATGCTTCTTTGAACTCTTGAATTTGGGCCTAAAATGATACACAAAAAATAGTTAATTTAAAAATTCAATTCATGGATAATATAATGATCCAAAACCTGATCAAACATAGCAAACACATTACTGGTCGCCCTCTGCGCCCGCTTTTTGGTCGCCGCACGACCTTTGGGTTTACGGGAAGACATTCCAGACATGGTTGACGACGAAGATGTCTTATCCAGCTTAAGGATCAATCAAATACAACTGTCCCGTCAATTGGGTAGTCCTAATCATATGATATACAAAACTCTTTGACTTATCAATTGTTTTAATTACTTAAATTGAAATTATAGGTTAAGATTATTAACATTAATAATATTTTACATTTCATTAAAATAGTTATAATTACCACAAATCAATAGTCAATGTATGAAACGACTATAGCAATGGACAGGTAGGTCTAATCGTAGGCTTTCCTCTGTGTCAACGGGTTTATGCTTACTATTGAATGACTCGACACACCCTATGATTTGGCGAAACAAAACAAAACATATATTATTATATATAATACTAATATTCATAATAAAAATGTGTCACAAAATTGTTATTACTTTTACAATGCGTTTAAACACAACTTATATTAAACGGATGTTTAAAACTATTGCTTTAATGTTATTATTAAATATTTATTTAATTCAATGACAGATCTCTATAACTATTAATATCAATGAATAGAAAACTGATATTAAAACAAATAAAATATAATTATTATACAAATAATTGTATTATTAATGTATTATTCAATTGTCGGGGTTTTCATCAAAAACATACATAAATTATATTACAGTAATATTCGTTAAATCAATAAATTACGTCAACTATAATATAATAATAATTATTGCATTTTTAATATATTGTATAATTTATAACTTAAATTATATACCGAATAAATTTATTATTAATATTATTACTAAATTTAAATACTATACTATAGTGTAGTACAGTGATCAAAATTAAACTTTATAAAACAAAATTGTACAAATAACCTAGTACATATTAAATGAGTAAGTGTTTGTTTAACTTACTCATTGTTTGTTATAAATTATGAAAATTACTATTAAATATCTGTTAAATTAGTTATGTTATATATGTATCACAAAGTTATCATGATAACACTTAATTGTGATCACTGGTGTAGTATATTATAGTAATATAAATATTTTTTTAATTTATAATTTTTTAAAATTTTAGTATTTAAATATTTTTATAATATTTTATTTATATCGTTTTAAATGTTATAAATATAATTTTTATTTATAAATTATAAGTTCAATAGAATCTATAAATGTTTGTATTAGGATTTATAACTTTAAAAAACAAATTATTTATCAATTTTGAAAAACTATTTTATAACTTAAAACCAATAGCTTATTTACTAAATTAATACATGTAATAACTACTAAATAAAATTGCATAATTATTAATTAATTCACAGTATATTTTAATTACATTGTTTTTGTACTAATGAATCGGTTAAATAAATTAATTTGAAAATACAGTTTAGAATCTGATATATTGATTATTATAGTTTAGTAAAATGTTTTATTATTTTAACAAATAAATGATTAAAATTAAAAAATAGTGATTTATTTGAATTAATATCACACAAACGTTAAGTGATTGATACTATTAATAATGATAATATTATATTATTAATATAATGAATAATAATAAATGTTGACTATATTTGGTATTCATTATAAAAAATGCATTCAAATGTGTGTGTAATTCATCAAACACTAGACGTGAGCCTACAATTCAATCAATTCAATTGAGACCTCACTATAAGCACAATGTGTTTCGTGAAATCATTTGTGCAAATATTGTCTGATTTTTGCGTTTAATGGTTTGACTGATTGTGTTTGCATAAAGTTTGTCAGTTTTATTGATTTAGTTAGTATAGGGGTCGGCCTGTTGTATGTTTGTAATGTTTGTCCATCAATTTGGTTCATACATTAGTAGTTTTCAACACTTCCTCTAATATGTAGTTTTCATGAAAGGGCTAAATGATTCACTCAAATATTTATAACTTAATAGTTTAACAAATTATTACTATTTGTTAGTTACCGACATACTATGCATACTATTTTACTGATATCTTAATTTAATATTTCATTTATATTTAATACAGTATACACTTTAAGTAAAGTAATTATTAATTAATTGACTTACTATATAATTAAACACTTTTATTAATTAAATAAAATGTAAAATTAGTTATATTCACTTAAATTTTTCATTTTACTAACTGTTTGTTACTAATATTTTATAACTAAATATTTAATTTCTCAAGTTTTATTTTGTTAAATTATTCTTTAGTAATTATTATAACTGCTAATTATATACTTTTTAATATTACTTTTATAAACTCCATAATAAAGAATATATAAAATTGAAGAAAAATATTTTTAAAATATACAATAATAAATCTAAAAAACAAAAATAGGTATAGACAAGTTTGTTATTTAATTGTATAATGATAAATTATCTTATGTTACATACAGTATATATTATTAAAACCACCAGTAATTTAATTAAAATTAAATAAATGTATTAATATAATATATTATTAATATATAAGTATATACTAACTTATATAGTCGTATATATTATAATTTACTACATTATAATATATATATATATATATATATATATATATATATATATATATATATATATATATATATATATATATATATATATATAGTACGTATGAGTTTAACAATATATAAGATCGAAGAATAAGTAGAAAAAAGTAATGATTTTTTGCTATTATTATTGTTTGTAAACTGAAACCAAAGTACTGACGATTCCAACCAATCCATTGGGTATTCATAAGTGCTGTGACTGTCGGTTATTATTTGTGACAAATTACATGACTATATATACTGTTATATACATATATACGGTATATATATGTTTGTAATGACATTGTTTGGCTAAAATAGTGAGCCCGTCGTCACTAACATAGCTATTGGCTGCCAAACTCTCTCCGGTGATCATTACTATGGAGTTGATGTTTGAGTCTAGAGTTGGTAGAGTTGGTGCCCACAGATGATTATAATTGAAAGTTTTGAGTCCCTATTGTCTGATGATTATTACACCATTATCTTTAAGCATATAATACATAACTGTATATATAAATGCTTTTATATATTTAGCATTCATTACCTCTATTGTGGAGATAATGCACACATGAAAAACCAAATCAATTTTTATGACTATCTAAAAGTTAGCTCTTATATCAAAGCCATAGTCGAGAGCACACTCCATAGTGATTGCGGTGGTATTGGCACTGGTGTTTCACTTGAGGCTAAATTGATTTGTAAAATTGATGCCCTCCTCAGCTTATTTCACTATATATATCCCATAAGTTATCATTGATGACAATACCATTAATAACACCAGTGTTTTGTTTGAAAACACTCAAAGGCCAAGTAGTACTCCTCTATAACTACCTATAAAAAAGATTAAATCAATAATTTTTATGACATATTACTAGTAATCTGAATATGAGATTAGGTCATCAAACAAATATTTTTAACAAAATTCTCTTTTGACACTCGATTCAAAAAAATCACAAAATTATAGATTTAAAACTTAAAAGGAAACCGAAATTTTCTGTATAAAAAATATTTTTGAAAATATTTATTTGTCAACAATTTTTGACAAATATTTATTAAATTACTTTGACGGTGTTTTTATTGGTATAAATGATAAATTGATGAAAATATAATTTTTTCTTTTAATAATTCAATTTATATGATCTATTACTTTAATAATTATCTTTAAATATTGCAAAATCTTCATTATAGTGATATTTATTATAATAATTTCTTTTTTTTAAATATAATTAAAATAAGATAATTGATTTTATTCATTAAAACTGCTATTAAATGTTATTTGTGTTTTTATAGTCATTAATGAAATAATCATATTATAGTGTATATTGAATTTCATAGCTAAGTAAAAGTTTTTGTTCATTAAAACTGATAAAACTAGAGTTTAACGGCCCAAACGTTATTTTCAATCAATTATATTGAGACAACCCATCAGGTATTAGCTATTGAAAGCTAATCAGGTAATAAACAACATTGAATGCCATTATCTTTACGGTTACAACTCAAGCAATTGATGAGTAATTTTTTCTTTAGTAAACCGATAGCACCGGAGACTAAACTTCCGTTTTATGTAATTATGTTTGAGTTCATGAAACTTATTATCAGTTGTAATGCAATGTATAAGATTTCATTTAACACAATTGCCGTTTCAAATGAATTTGAATTATTTTATATTTGATTAGTTTCTGATAATTCATGAAAATAGTGTCACAAAGTATGTAGTATTTTATTTTTATAATATTAAATATTTAGTCTGATAACATTTATGAAATTTTCATTATATTCAATACTACTGTATATTATATATTTTTACAGATTATTTATTATTATCGTTGCATAGATTGATATAACTGTAAAGATAAAAAACTTTCAAAACTACAAAAAATAAAATTATTAAAATATAAATGTTATTTTATAATAAAATCAAATTATGCAATCATTTCTAATTGTAATAAATTAAAATATTTTATATACAATTAAATAAACTATAAATATGGAACTAAATATATAAAGTCTAAAATTAAAGTTAAATTAAAATTTTTTGTGGTTTACAGATTTTAATCAAATATTTGGTAATATTTTGGTGAATATTTTGAGTTATTTATATACAGATGTCTATCTATTTGGTCTCACTTTTCTGTCACAAATCATAATTTATTGTATTAAAGCGTTTTTATTTTTAAATGAGTCGACGTAATAAATCTGATGCTTTAAACTACTGATTATTAAAATGATAATATTTTTCGCATACAGTACTGTCTCTCACTTTTGTAAACCTAAAATTTTATTGCATATTTGACTTTCTCTTATTTTGTTGTTGTCTATGATCTGACATTTGCATTCATTAATGCCATAATAAAAACTACAAACTATGTTGTCTTTAAAACATAAACTTAATTTTACCGACAAATTAATTTATGATTGAAATTACACCGATTTAAAGCTCCATTAACTTCTTTATAAAAGACTTTCGTTGTTTTAGTTTCTTATGTTGTAAAACATATTAAAAGACGAGAGAGAGAGAGAAAGAGARAGAGAGAGAGAAAGAGAGAGAGAGAGAGAGAGAGAGAGAGAGAGAGAGARAGAGAGAGAGAAGAGAGAGATTGACAGCATTTAAAAGGAAAGCCAAAGAATGAGAGAAATGAGTGATTCTTTTGATTAAATATTCTCTGTATTTGTTGAGTGAATGCCTTTTGAATTGAATGACAAAGCAATGCAAATGCAATGCAATTGAATGTAAATGCAATGCAATGTATGGTTGTGTCGTAAAATTCTTGCATATCTACTGATGATTATCACTAGTCTTAAGCAATGAAAGAATGAGAAAACTTACGATTATTTTCTCTCTGACTACCAGTGCTTTAGATGCATGACTGCAATATAGCAAAAGAAAAGCCTAATATCAGGAACTACTTGAACACTGGTATGAACACTGGTATGGACAGCACTGATAGTGTATTATTAGTGCTTATTCTAACACATTTGACATTTGTCTCATCTGAAAGTTAGACCAAAACAGTTGCTTTAAATATATTAGTGTTATTTGTCGTTATTATAATTATATATATATGTATATAAAACCAGTTCATAGAAAACAAAGATAATTCTTTGATTATGTTTAGCCATCCCTGGCATCGCTT